CTTGTCTCTGTTTCTTGGTTATACAGTTCACTTTATGGTGGTATGATTCACATATGATAAAATTCAATCTTTAAAAAAAATAATGAAGGCTAGAGTGATGACTCAGCAGTTAAGAGCACTGGTTGTTCTTGTAGAGGACCTGGGTTCAGTTCTCAACACCCACATGGTGACTAACATTGTAACTACAGTTCCAGGAGATCCAATGCCTGCTTCTGGCCTCCTCAAGCATTGCATGGATGTGGTGCACTTACATACTTGCAGGGAGAACGTTCATACACATAAAATAAATTTCAAAATTATCACGTGTGTGCATGTGTACATGGACACTTGCCATGGAGCTCATGTGGCAGTTAGAGGACGCTTTGTGAAGTTAGTTCTCTCCTTACATGGGTTCTGGAGATCAAACTCAGGTCGTTAGGTTTGGTGGGCAAGTACTTTTACCTGCTGAGCCATCTTGCTGGCCCCTACATAGTCAAGATTGGCCTCCAGCTTTCAGTCCTTTTGCCTCAACTCAGCCCCCCAAGTGCTGGGGACTGTAGGCAGGTATCATCATGCCTAGCACTGCTTTTGTCTTTAATGGAGAAACAATTTTTACCCTGTACTGATTATAATTTATAAGGACTAGTGTCAGGCGATGCTTTCCAATGTAACATGTAAGTACAGTCCATGCTGGTCTGAGAAATTATAGTCTACAATGGGCCAGTTTTATTCTGAGTCATTACACTCTCCGTAAGATGTTGGTCTGTACCTTCTCCTTTTTCATTTCTAGCAGACCAGTTACTTGTCTAATGGCACAGAAGGATTTTGGTTCTTATAATCTTATTGATGGCATTGTGAGATTTAAGGAATATAGGAGGAAAACATTCTAGTTGGCTATTAGTAAGCAGCATTAACTTAAGTGAGAATTAGATACTTGAACTGTGTATCATATATAAGTATTAAAAATGGCGATGGGGAAGGAATGTAAACTCTTTGTCTGTCTGAATACTTGACTTCCTTTGCAACCAGTCATACAGTGGAGTCAACTGGAGACCTTCTTGATAATACTGGTGTGTATTGGGGTTACTGCTGGTAATGGGGAACCACTGACCTGGATCCTTGTTAGTACTGACTTTTTGATTTTGAGATTTCTATATTCTCATCTGTTGTAAAGTGGGAAAAAAATGAGATTTTTGCTCATGGGAAAAGACTGCTGTGCTGAAAAAGCTTTATCACTGCCTCAAATACAAGCTACACAGATGGATGGTCTCACATTCACAGTTTCGCAAACAGCCATTGACTGTCAAAGGAAAGGACAGTTTTTCGGGGTACTATGAAGGAATACTGATGGTATTGTATTGATATGCCTGTGGGGGTGGAGGATACATAAGTGAGACTGGGAAAATGGATTGTTGGTTTATATGTACATATTGGAAGAATCTTTTCATACTAAAATAGAGACTACATACACATACACACAATCTCATGATTCTCCACCTAAATCTCATTTTTTTGGAGCATCTTTTAGGTATCCTTTCCCTCCCTTTAAACTTTCACTTTGCAAAGTCTTAGATTTTGAAAGCAGCAAGTAGACTGACAAATCTGACTGAAGTCTCTAGAATGGCGAAGCCAAGGAGTACTTTTCCTTTCATCTTGCTATTGAATAATTTCACTATAACAACTACTAACACTAATGACTTATTGTAAAGTTTAGAATCCCTCCTTCTTCAGTCCTGGGGTGTAGTCAGCATGAGAATGTGTGTGGTTGGCCAGGGTGGTAGATTCACAGGTTGGATTGGTCTTGGCAAGTTTTATGGAGGAACCATAGCACTGGAAGGGTGGGTAGTGGAGGAACTCACTCTACAGTGGGGAGGGAGAGGCAAAGCCCTGGCAGAAGACAAAGTGATTTGTGTTTGAAAGATCTAGTCAGTGGTCTGAGCTTCTGTGTTTTTAGGGTCATCAAGGTTTTTCTTCTGAAATTATTGTTCTGCTGATTTTTTTTTTTTTTTTTTTTTTTTGGATGGAGGAACCATAGCACTGGAAGGGTGGGTAGTGGAGGAACTCACTCTACAGTGGGGAGGGAGAGGCAAAGCCCTGGCAGAAGACAAAGTGATTTGTGTTTGAAAGATCTAGTCAGTGGTCTGAGCTTCTGTGTTTTTAGGGTCATCAAGGTTTTTCTTCTGAAATTATTGTTCTGCTGATTTTTTTTTTTTTTTTTGGTGTTTAATGTATTTTGAAGTTTAAAATAAGGTCAAGGGAGGCATAAAGTTATTTTGTTTGAGAAAAGGAAAAAGATTGGAGAATCTTGATCTAAATAATGATTTCCTATAGGGAGATCTGGGAGAGTCACACAAATTGTCTTTGGTTCAAAGAATAGTCCTCCAACTTAGAAATGTAGGAGTGTTAAAAAGAGGGATTCCATGGTCAGAATATGGAGTCTCACAGCAAAATGCCTAAAACAGATTGAACTGCAAAATACCATGCAACTGCTTGTAATTGCAGATGAAGTAGAGTTACTACCTACTTGCACAACTCTCAACCTTGTAACAGAGAAAATTCTAGGTACAGAGAACACTTGAATGTCAATAGATTTTTCTGTTCCTGTTCTCTGGAATGTTTAGGGCTAAGTTTTTAGTTTTTGGCATCATAAAAGCTTAAAAGTATTCTGTTTAGTTAATTAAATTGATTGTATTAGAGCAGTCACATTAAAAATTTGAAATTGATCGCAGTCTTATGATCCTAACAATAGTTTTCATTTTTGTATGTTCTAATTTTGTGTACATACTTACTTAGTAATACTTTTAAAATTAAGAAGGAATATTGATATCTAGAGAATTTGTAAGATTCTTTTCTTGTTTTTAAAGGTATGTGTTGGGTGGAGGAGCATTATGTATGGAACTTCTCACAAAACAGGTAATTATTGTCTTATGGTGCTTAATTCTTGGCCTCAGTAGACTATTTTGATATGTAAAATCAGTTTTAAGTAGAAAACTCTTATATAGACTATCATCTACTTAAAAATTTATTTTAGTAGCGGCTAATTTTAATGATGAAAAATATAAAGTTCCACTGGCTTAGTGTGACACTCACTTAAGTTACAATTTGCTCCTGTGACATTTTCGAATATAGATTGTTTTATGAGATTCTGGAAGTGGTCCACTGTTTCTCCCATTACTACCATCTTAATACTGATGTGCTACTGTTGGGTTTCTGTGTGCCACTTTGTTAGGATTTCCTGAGTATAATTGTGCATACCTCTGTTTTAGAGATACTTTCTTCTTCCTGCAGGGCTGGAGCAGTGCCTACTCTATAGAATCGGTCATCATGCAAATAAATGCCACATTAGTGAAAGGCAAAGCCAGAGTGCAGTTTGGAGCAAATAAGGTGCTTTCATGAAGAATTTCATAGAAATGCTAAGATCCTCTTCATGTTAATTTTATGTTGTGAGCTTTCTTCCTGTCTTGATTCATTTTTGTTGTTTACTTTTAAATTTGTATTTATTTATTTATTTTGGTCTTTTTGAGACAGTGTCTCCCTGTAGAGCTGTCCTAGACTTGCTGTGGAGATCAGGCTGGTCTTGATCTCACAGAGATCCTCCTGCCTCTGCCTGCTGAGTGCTGGAACTAAAGGTGTATGCCACCAGGCCTGGCCTGTCTTGATTCTTTTTGAGACAGTTTTTCATTTTCATTTGATTTGTCTTTGTCTTGCTAGAAAAGTAAGCTATAAAAACACAGCATGTAAAGATACACATTGAGATAACTTACTTAGTGCCCACTTTAGTCTTCTATATTCACAGATGTGTAGCTTATTTTTGGTAAGTATAACTTAGTAAAAAATTATGCGTACTTTGAGGTTTCTCCACACTGAGATCACATTAAAATAATTAATACTTAGCTTGTACGAGTTACCCTCTGTTCTAGACTGTTAACTTTTAATCCCCCTTAATAACCTGAAAGGTATTTACTATTATCTTCATTCTATAGATGAGGAAATTGAAGCACATGAGGGTTAGATGACCTCTCTGAGGTCATGGGGCAGGGGGTAAGATGCGGGTTGTAGCCAGCCAGGCCAGCATTGGTCTGTGCTCTCTTTGCCTACTTTATTAAAGTATTCTTTCCAGTGGAATTGTAGTTATTAATAGATACTTCAGTGATACTTGTTTTAGAAAAGACATTTGTGAGATAGAAATAATCTTGATCTAATGCTTTAAAACAGTGTTTTCCCTAAAGTTCTTTGTGAATTCTGCATTCTCTATTCAAATCATGCAAAATTAGAGATTATGCTCATACTGTACCTTGATACTGTACAATTATCTTAATTCATAGAAAAATAAAAAATTTGGAAAGGTCACTGAAAAGAGAATCATTAATTTGAGATAATACTCTTTTAACTGTTTTTAGCAGTTATTTTTTTTTCATTTTTATTCTATGTGTATGAATGTTTTGCCTATATGCATATATGTGCACCATGTGCATGCAGTACCCTCAGAGGCCAAAAGAGGGAGTTGGATCCTCTGGAACTGGAGTCATAGATAGGTGTTAGCCACCCATGTGGGTGATGGGAACCAAATCTGGGTCCTCTGGAAAAGCTGTCAGTGCTCTTAACCACTGAACCATCTCTCCAGCCCCACAGCTGTTTCTTTAGACTGGAACAAAATACCATTTTGTATAATCCAGAAATGAAGCAAGTCACTAATGCTCAATAATTTCCATTTAACTAGCATATTCTTAAGAATATATGTGCTTATATATTACTATTTTAATGTTTGACTGTGACAGTAGAATGATTATATAGTATAACCTGAAATTCTACTTTTTTTTTTTTTTAATTTTTAAATCTTTTTGAGACAGGGTCTCCCTGTAGCCCCAGCTGTCCCAGAACTCACTATGTAGACAGGCTGGCCTTGACCTCAGAAAGACCCGCCTGCCTCTGCCTCCCAAGTGCTGGGATTAAAAGCGTGCGCCACCATGCCCGGCTGAAATTTTTCTTTTTTTTTTTTTTTTGGTCTTTTTGAGACAGGGTCTCCCTGTAGCCCCAGCTGTCCTGGAACTCACTATGTAGACCAGGCTGGCCTTGAACTCACAGAGATCCGCCTGCCTCTGCTTCCCAAGTGCTGGGATTAAAGCCGTGCACCACCACACCCGGCCAAAATTTTACTTTTTAGGGCTAAAATAATATCCTTCTGAATGCAAAACTTTTGAAGTAGGTAAAAACACCAAAAAACTGAACAAGGTATTTTGCAGTTCTGTCTAGAGAAATACACCACAGTGTTAACAGTATTTCCAATTTCTCCAATATTCTTGACATCTTTTCATATGTAGAACTTGATGTTGTATTTTAATAATTTTTTTGCCAGATGTGGTGGTGCATTCCTTTTTTTGGGAGGCAGAGGCAGACAGATCTCTGAGAGAGAGGCCAGCATTAGCTACATAAAGAGTTCCAGGCCAGCTCGGGCAAAAGGGAGAGCCTGCCTTGAAATAACAATGTGAAACAAAAATTAATTTTTAAAAATTCGTACATTTTTCATTTTATAAGAAAAAGGCTAGAGCAATGGCTCAGGGGTTAAGTGCACATGCTCCTCTTACAGAGGACCCATGTTCAGTTCCTAGCACTCACATTGGGCATTCACAACCACCTGTAGCTCCAGAGGATCTGGTGCCCTCTTTTGGTCTCTAGGGGCAGCCACATGCACATATTCAGACACAAACATACACATAATTAATGATAGTAAAATATTTAAAAAGAAAGAAGAAAACTGAAAGTGCTTAGAATTATGATTTTCTTTCTCTATCCTCTCCCTCTCCCTCTCCCTCTCCCTCTCCCTCTCCATCTCCATCATCTCTATCTCCTTTCTTGTAATTGAAATTTTTCCAACAAACTATGCATAGTTCTCTCCCAAGAAATTCTAGAATACCAGTACTCTTTGTTCTATGTCTCTTATATGTATGATGTTTATATAACAAAACTGCACAATTATATATTTAAGAAGGTCTTCTCTGCCATTGAGCAATATATGGATATACTTCAATATGCAAACATACTCAGCAGCCTGACAGCATCCTATGTAAAATGTTTTAATTTTTTAAAAAGTTTTTAAAAAATATTTATTATTTTTATTTTATGTGTATGAATGTATTGCCTGCATGTATGTGAATGCAGCTGTGTAGTGCAGTGCTGCAGAGGTCAGAAGAGGGCTTCGGATTCCCCTGGAACTGGAGTTAAGGACAGTTTGTAGCCGCCATGTAGCTGCTGGGAATCGAATCAGGGTCCTCTGCAAGAGCAGTCAATGCTCTTAACCACTGAGCCATCTCCAGCCCCAAAATGTTTTAATTTTAAACTTGCCAAGAAAACTGCAAATCATAGAAAATATACAGGTTTAAAGCAATTATAATGACACAGATTCTATTTCCCTATACGGAGATGACAGTGATGACATCACTTGATAGACTCTTTTGGGACCACAGTTGTGTGTGCTGGCTTTTGTCCATGGTTGATTAAAGTGCCTTTTTTTCATTTTTTATTTATGTGTACATGTGAGTGTATGTGTGGATGCTTGTGAAATCCAGAAGTATTGGATCCCCTGGAGCTGCAGTAGTTGTCAGCTACCCAATGTGAGTGCTGGGAGCTGAACCTGGGTCTTCTACAAGAGCAGTACATGCTCTTAGCCACTGGGCCGTCTCTCCAGCCCCAGACTAAAGTGTCTTTATGTAGTGCCCTGATTGTGTACCTTAGAAGGGGTGAATTTAATGAATTGTTATGATGAAACCTCATTCTTCCTTTTTTTCTTTAGAACTTGTAATGCTAAGTACTCTTGCCTTTACTTCTCCTTCACATCCCCTATTCACCAGTCAAAGACTTTTTCTTGTCCCTACAGAGAAGAGTTATGCAATGTGGGTATCTTTTCTATAGACCCACTGAAGGGGTGGGGTACCCCAATTGCCTCACCCTGTATCCCTGTTCAGCATGGAAGAAGTCAGAGGGTCTGCGTCCCTCTTCCCTATTGGCAATTTGGATAACCTTTTCACAGGACGGTGTGATATTAGGAGGTAGGAACTAGCTAGGCAGTTAGGTAAAACGACCCCAAAGAAAAGCAGCCAGTTTCTGGGCTAAAAGTCAAAATGTTCTTTGGCCTCTTAGCAACATACCCTGTTCCAAAGGCCAAAAATGTCATAAGTATTTGGGAGCTCTTATCTAATCCCTAAAAGATTTTTGGGTTACCTCTTCAGAGGGAGGAATGTTAGAGTAGCAAAAAGCCCCATTTAAAAAAAAGGAGGGCTGGAGAGATGGCTCAGTGGTTAAGAGCACTGGCAGGGAACCTGAGTTCAATTCCCAGTACCCACATGGCAGCTAACAACCAACTCCAGTTCCAGAGAAATCCGACTCTTTCTTCTGATTGCTGTGGGTATTGTACAACACGCACTTATGTACATGCAGGCAATACACTCATACACACAAAATAAAAATAAATAAAATATTTTTAAAAAAAGAAAGAGTACACGAAGTTGTCAGAAAAAAGTGATGGGGAGATAGAGGAGGTGTTGGAGGGGAGGGAGTGGGCGTGGATTTGATTAAAACACCTTATGCATGTATGAAATTCTCAATAAAGATTTTTAAAAAAAAAAGTTTTAAAAATAAATGTCAGCTAAGAGAGTGGAAACTTTGCATGACAGAAGTTTCATCTTCCTGGACTCTAAACTCTGCAGAGAATAATCTAAACATTAACTTGAAATGTACTACAAAGGCCTGACATGGCTATGTATTGCCTGTAATTCCAGAATTTGGGAAGATGAGGCAGAAGCACTGCCATAGTCAAGGCCCCCTGGACTACATAGTGAGACCCTATCTCAAAAAACTGAAATCCTGACTGGTTGTGGTGACAACACTTCTTTAATCCCAGCACTTGGGAAGCAGAGGCAGGTGTATCTCGATGAGTTCCAGGCCAGCAAGCCCCCCTCCCTCAACCCCCCTTCAAAAAAAAAAAGCCCCCAAACCACCTCTAATCAATCAAAAGCTAAGGTACTAAATAGTATTAAAGGGCTAGCAACATGGCTTAGCAGGTAAAAGCACTTACCAAATAAGCCTGATGACCTGGGTTCAATCCCTAGGACCCACAGTAGAAAGAAAGATCCAACTTCTGAAAGTTGTCCCCTGATCTCCACAAGGCCACTCACTATGGCACATTTGCCCACACATACGTACATCATGCATGCACAAGTACACATACAGTAATTGTCCTAAATGGTATTAAAAATATTGCTGCTCCTGGAGTATGTGTAGGGTAGAAGAGTTGGGAGGAAGGGAGAGGTTATATAGTTAGGCCTGTGTAAGTATAGGGAATCTCTGGAAGAATATTCAAGAAGTGCTGATAGCTATTTCTGTGTGGTGGTGTTTGAAACATTGGTGGCAGGGGCAGCTAGGTCAACGATAAGGAGACTTTACAGTGCTTTGTGCACTTCACTTTCTTTTTGCCATATGTTTTTTACTTTACAGTGTTTTACATTGGATCTTAGAAGGCCAAGAAGTACTATTTTAAATGATATTGTCAGCTGTTGGTTCAGAGTAAATGGATGAGCTTGCCTCCTGGAAATCTGAATAAACTTAGATAAAGTCACACAAATATTGGAAAGTTCCCCCTTTAGCAGACTTGATAGAGATAGGGTCAGATTAGTGGAGCTGAGGACTTAGCAGCTCTCCACAGGCAGGAGCCTCTGGAGAGAAGTATAGTCTTGCTGTCAGCTCCCTGGTGATGCTTAGCTTACAGGAGTAGAGAACAAGCCACAAGCTATGAGGTTAGTTTTCTGTTCAGTTACCAGGAAATACAGGCTACAACATTAACTGGAGACTGTACAAATAAGAAATCTTTCCAGAGTACAAATAAGAAATCTTTCCAGAGTACAGCCTGTTCACAGAAATAATTCCCAGCACTTGAGAAACTAAGGCAGGACGATTGCAAGTTTGAGGCCAGCTGGGCTACATAATGAATTCCAGACCAGACTGGGCTATATAATTGAGATTCTTTTTAAAAATGAACAAATAGGGGGCTGGAGAGATGGCTCAGCTGTTAAGAACAGTAGTTGTTCTTGCAGAAGACACAGGTTTGAATCCCAGCACCTACATGGCAGCTAACAACTATCTGTAACTCCAGTTCTAGGGGATCTGACAGCCTCTTCTGTCTTCCGCGGGCATTGCACGACACAGGTGCACTTACCTACACGCAGGCAATACACACATACACATAAAATAAAAATAATAAATATTTTTAAAAAATGAACAAATAGGGCCAAGAATAGTGCTCCAAGAACCTTCCATGTATATTGATATTTTGGAGGGAAGGTTCGTTGAGTTTGATAGTGAAATCCTGCAGTACACAGTCTTGGGCAGCACCAAACATATTTCTACTATTGGGAAAGGTATCTTCTGTTGCTGTGGTCATTTACCTGCAGAACCCTAGTTAATGCTCACAAGCCAAGGAGACACTTGTTTTGTTTTCAGAGCAGGGCTGGAGGAGTGAGTTGCTACCTATTCTAAACAGTCTAGTCTAATGTTATAAATGACCAAGTCTGAGAGCCTTGATTCTCTCAGGGGACTGTAGAGGTCCTATGTTCATTGTATTCACAGTTTTTGCCAGAAGCAGACTGATGCTTGGAGAAAATCGTCTCTAATTTAAGCTTGCTATCTTCCCAAAGGTTAAAGTCAAGCAAACAGGACTTCAATCAAAGGTCATAGCACAAAAGTAGGCAACTGGAGGCACATGAGAATTGGCAGAAACAATGAACAATAGATCTATGTCCTCTAAAGATTTTAGATTTTGAAACTATTAAATTGAAACTGAGACTTAAAGAGCTGAGGCTGTAGCTTAGAGGAAGAGTGCTTGTTCAGTGGTAGAGTGCATGCACAGACCCTGGATTCAAGTCCCCGTATCTCAAAAAAAAATCAAAACTAAGTCGAGACATAAGTTATTTGAAGTGTGGGGAAATGTTATTTTTAAGAGATTTTATATTAAAAATAAAATTTTTATTTTATATGTATGAGTATTGCCTGCATGTAAGTGCACCATGTCATGCAAAACCCACAGAGATTAGAAGAGGGTATTGGATACCCTGGAACTGGAGTTAATGATGGTTTTTAGCCACCATGTGGGTGCTGGGAATGGAACCTGGGTCCTCTGCAAGAGCAGTCAGTGCTCTTAACCACTGAGCCATCTCTCCAGCCTCTATTTATTTATTTATTTATTTAATATATATTTTGCCTGCATGTGAGTACACCATGTGCATACCTACTGCCTGCAGAAGCCAGAAGAGGGTTACAGATCCTCTGGAACTGGAGTTACAGATGGTTGTTAGTTGTCATGTGGGTGCTGGGACTCATATGTGGTCCTTTGGAAGAGCAATAACTGCTCTAACTCCCATTAGTAAGATCTTAATGATAAAAATCTTGGCTAAATAGGAGGATGCAGAAATTTTTGTACCTCCTGAACCTATTAAAGTAGTTTAAAATTAGAGAAAAAAAGAAAAACTGATAAAACCACAGGGAGAAATAATCCACTAATAGAGATAGAGATTTGCTTATGTTGACAGAATGTCAAGTGTAATTTTGAACAACCAGTTGGCAGGCAGTCTGTTAATTAACCATAAATAGAACTTTGGACCCAATAATCAGGTATTGTCTCTCCTTCTCAAACATATATGGCATATGCAAAAAATATATGACATTTTATTGTGTAAAGCAAGTCAGAAGATTAAAAAACATTGTTACATTGTAAACCATATAATTTAAATATGTAGTTAAGTTAGAAAATGATAATCAGAAAATAAGATCGATTTGAATTTGGAAAATAAGTGCCCTTCTAAATTATGGTTTAAAAAATCAGAAGTTGGGACTGGAGAGATGGCTCAGCAGTTAGGAACACTGGCTATTCTTGCAGAAGAATCCCAGCACCCAACTGTTTGTGACTCTAGTTCCAGGAGATCCGAAGCCCTCTTCTGTCCTCTGCAGATACTGCATGACATACATGCACTTACACACATTCAGGCAGTACACTCATACACATAAATAAAATAAAAAGTTAAAAATGATTTTGAACTATAATGACAATACTAAAATTCATTCCTCTGCCCTTGCATGCTTTTAATGCTGTTCAGTCAATGAAAAAGCCCTCTAGCTGCAAAGCAGAAAGAAATGAGACATAGTCTCTGATCCTAGTTAAATGAAAATGTAAGTTAATAACTAAGTCATAAAACAAATGTTCTGTGGAAATTTCATGCTCGCACAACCCTTTGATCAAACAGGAATTTGAAATTAAAATATCTGGATATCTGGGCAACAGTAAGAATGTACTCACTACAACTCAGAAAACAAAGGAGGTGCAGAATGGGTGTTGGTGGCCTTGGGAACCTGTGTTTATAAAGGGGAAAGGGCAGAAGGACTCATGGGACATGAACGAGGAAGAGACCGGGAGGCAGAAATGTTACCAGGCCATCAGGAGTACTGGAGGTGGGGAACATGGGGGAGTGGGACCTGCTAACACAGTTTGCTCAAAATCTTCATAAGCAGATCTAATATCTTGTAAGGTAATTTTAAAGAGAAGAAAAATAGAATAAAAAAAGGACAATCAAGAATCCAACACATTGCTAGGACAGACAAACTGAAGGAAAGAGTATATGGGGAAGTCAGTAAGGATTATCAGGGTTTTACTCATTCACTAAGTATCCTCTGACCTGGTCTTAGCGTGGAGAGCGACACTGGATCTAGAAAGCTGCTCGTCCAGGGGTAGGAAGGTTTTTAAAAAGTGAAGTCTGCAGGATTTTATTGAAGTACAATTTTGGTTTTGTTTTGGAAACAGAGTCTCACTATGTAGCTCTAGCTGGCCTGGAACTTGCTGTGTAGACTAGAGTAGCCTCAGGCTCAGAGATTTGCCTACCTCTGCCTCCTGAGTGCTGGGATTAAAAGCATGTAGCACCACATCTGGCCTGGTTTTGTTATTTTTATAAAATTATAGAGAATAATGAAGTCGAGTAATAAAAGTTGTTTGGGAAATGGAAATATACTTTTAAATACAACAGTGATGTATCCATAAATTTATTTTGACAGTGTTCATCTGGTTACAGTTTTGATTGAAAATATATAATTCTTTTTCAGAATCAATATAATCTAGCACGAGCTCAACAGTCCTATAATTCCATTGTGCAGATACACGAGAAAAATGGTATGTTTAATTCAATAAGTGTTAATGCCACTTACGTACTTTTATATAACATTGATATTTACCCGTGTTCATTTTTCTTTTTTTGTCCTACTTATCAAATACTATTACCACAGTGAAAAAATTTAACTTATACTGTATTAAAAGTCTTGGAATCAGTCTTTTTAACACCACTGCTTTTAAAATCCGTAGGTTCTAAACACTTGGCCTAGGTACCTCTGAGTCAAGAGTCAAGAATTAATTTTTTGTTATTTTTATTTTATGTGTGTGAGTGTATTGCTTGCATGCATGTAAGTGTACCCATGTTCTGCAATGCCCGCAGAAGTCAGAAGAGGGCGTCAGATCCTCTGGAACTGGGGCTACAGATGGTTGTTAGCTGCCATATGGGTGCTGGAAACTGACCTGGGTCCAGTCATCTCTCCAGCCCCCCAGAATGAAAAATTTTGAGTAAATTAATGAATGAATCATTTTGCCACTTGAAATATGTTCTATAAGTATAGAAATTCAGTTATGTTCAACTCTGCAGGTAATGAATTCTCAATGTAATTGAGCTAATCCAGCAGGATCATGACCAGCTGTTTGTAAACGTCTTCAGATTAATAGTTTGGAAGATTGACCCCAGCTCTTTCCTCCGTCTTTCCCTCCCTCCTGATTGAACCTTGGGCCTCACTATGCAAACACTATATCTACTACAGAGTTGTATCTAGGCCTTTTTTTTTTTTTTCTTCCTTTCTTTTAAACTTTGAGACAGGATCTTATTAAATTGCCTAGGCTGTCCTTGAGCTCACTCTGTAATCCAAGCAGGCTTTGAATGTGTAGTTCTCTTGGCTCATCCTCCCCAGTAGCTGGGATTACAGACTTGTAGCACTAAGCTTGGCTTGGAAGACCTCTTTTCAAGAGCCATTTATGTCACTCCCTATCTCTGTGGCCTTGAACAAGTCCTGTGATCGCTCTCTTTTTAGAGAGAGAGAGAGAGTGTTTGCCATGGCACACACTGTATGGGTTCAGACCATCAGTCTCTGCAGCAAGCACCTTGGCCCACTGTGCCATTTCACCAGCCCCTATGATCTTATTTACCCTCAGTTTTCTCATCTCTAAAGTTAGCATGGTGTCTCTTACTAAACATACCAATAAGAAGAGTAGTGTGTATACATAGCACTTTGTAACCAAGTGTCCAAAGTAAAGTATTCATTGTCATTGTGGGAGTGAAACTGGTGCCTTGGTGCAGAGTAAGAGGAAATCATTTCGTTAGATGAGTATTTGTAGTAAATGTTCTTGATTTTGCTAGAAATGTGTTAGTTGGGCTGGGGAGTTGACCATGCAAGCATAAGGGCCTGAGTTCCAATCCCAGCTTGCACATAAAAAGCTGGGCGTGGCAGTGCATGCCTGTAATCCCAGCTCTGAGGAGGCAGATGCAGGAGGGCCCCTGGGGTTCACTGGCCAGCTTGTTTAGCTGAATTGGCTAGCTCCATGTTCAGTGGGAGAGTCTGTCTCAAAAAAGGTGGAGAATGAGGAAGACACACAATGTTGACCTTTGCCTCCCCCCACAGTAGTTTATAAGATTTATGTCTTACACTCAATTTTATTTTAATGACACAGCTAACTTGTCTCTTATGTAGTGATTCCTTCTAGAAATACTACTGAAAACCAAATTTTCAAGCTTAAGTTATAAAATAGGAGGATAAGACCAGGTTTTCTTAATAATCATTTCTAGTACATCAAGTGAGTAGATCAAGGAAACCTATCTATATCAGAACTCTTGTGACTGCTCTACAAATCCTGGTATATTTATTCTGTTCTAGTGCCAACTTTATAACAAACATTCCTTAATATGATTTGTCTTTCTGTTAAGAGCTTAGATTTTTGTAGTGTCTGGGCAATAGTCACATTTTTTTTTTCTCCATTTCTTTCTTAAACATTACAGTTGGGATTCACAGATGTTTCTAGAAATGGTATATTTGAAAGTTAGTGTATGTGAGCCTCACAGTGATGAAAGCAGATTAAGAATCAGTAGAGATTGATTCTCATATTCAAAGTTTGTATCTTTTTATTTTAAATTGGTAGATAAGACTGTACGTTTGCCATATATAGCTTGATATTTGGATACACAGGCACACACATGTACACATTATTGATTTACTCACTCTGATTAACAGTTGTACTGCCTCACATAGCTAGAATTTCTTTTGATGAGAACACTTTTTACTTGATTGACAACCCAAATTCTTTTTATTCTAACTGCCAGGATTTTATTTGGGGGATATTTTCAGTGAGGTTTGTTTTCAAATACAAAACTGAAAAGGAAACAATATGTACCCTATACTGCCTGTCCTACTTACTTTCTATTGCTGTGATAAAACACTGGGGCCAAAAAGAACTTGGGGAGAAAAGGGTTCATTTCACCTTACAGCTCACAGTTCATCACGAGGGGATTCCAGAGGGGATCCTGGGCAGGAACTCAAGGCAAGAACGTGGAAGCGGGAACTGAAGCACAGAGAAATGCTCGCTCCTCTGGTCAGTGCTCAGCCTGCTTTCTTAAACAACCCAGGTCCACCTGTCCAGAGGTGGCAGTGCCCACAATGGGCTGGGCCCTCTTGCATCACTCAACAGTCATGAAAATGCCTCACAGACATGCCCACAGGCCAGTCCACTAGAGGAAATGTCCCAGCTGAGGTTCCTTCTTCCAAGCTGTGTTAAGTTTACAACTGAAGTTCTCCAGGACAATTGACCATTTGTCCATTCAACACACACTGTTGTTACTAGCTAGGACTACCATTAATATTTAGATATCGAAAACTCAGTGCACTTTATTCATAGAATATAATTTGATATCGTGAACATCAAAATGCTGTGTTGATAACCTAATGCAAGTTTACTTTTTCACAGGCTATATTTAATAATAAATGTTTGCTTTCCTAGTTGATTCAAGGATTGAAATGAAGTATTTTAACGTTTTTCCCCCCCATTTTATTTCAGGCTGGTATACTCCTCCAAAGGAAGATGGTTAAATATGTTGACATATGTCTGGACCAATGTTGCTTTAAAGAAAATCGTTCCAACGTGCAGACATAAGCTTTGAGTGCCCCTATAACAGCAGTACCGAAGACGTTAGCTAATAGAACCAGTATAAGTTACATCTTTTCATTTTGCTCACTTTAGGAACCGGACTGAGCAGTGGGGCCTTTACTGTATTTTTCTGATAAATACACATACTGGCCACTCTTTATCACCTCTTCTTGAAAAGTGAAGTCTTTTAAGCAGGGAAGTCAGCATCAGTTTACTGCAGTTGTGATTTTACAGTAACCTTCCTAAATTTGAGCCTATGGGGTATGAAGTTTTGCGTAATTTTGTTCCTTTTAGAGCCAATAAAATTTTAATTGATGGTCAATACTGGTTTAGAAATTTTAGGTCTTCTAAACCATAGCTTTTCAGGTCTGAAACCATTTATTGCCAAAATTATAACAAAAAACCTATTCATTAAATTATTACACTGTTTTTTATGGCTGTGTGAAGGTTTGAACTGTTTCCTGAAGCTATGTTCTTAATTGGATTGTACTAGTCAAAGGAAGACAGTGCCATGGAAGGCTTGTGAGCGGTAATCCCACTAGGGCAGCAGCCTTGCTCCACCAAATCTGCTTCTTGTTGGTTCAACAGTTCTTAATGAAGAAGAGCCACAGTATAGAGCTTGAAGTTATTTAAAGTACTAAGTCATTTTATCTTTCCATTTTATTAACGGGGTGTTGCAATTGTTTGTAAACTAATAAACTTACAAAGTGATTGGCATGAAGATAGACTTCTTCAGCAAAAGCTACACTTTAAGTACAAAAGACACCTAATTTGGAGACCCTTAAATTATTTCTCACAGTCCTAACAGTGGCTTTTCCATCAAAAGAGACTAATAGGAACTCTGAATATGTGAATTCTTTTATAAAACTTGATACAAATCTGTCTACTCTCCATTTTTTATTGCCTTATCTGAATCAATCCTCTTTGGTTGGTAGTAGTTTTTCGTTTTATAAACCCAAGTTTGATTTAAAAATAAATTCTAGTTATTAAGCACTTTTAAAAAGAGACCCAGAAGCACAGTTTCTGCACAAACCAGGTACAAAGTTGAAAGGTGTTACCTATACATTCACTTTGAGAATCTTTTTTTTTTTTGATTGTGTAAACTACATTCAAGAGACTTGGCACTTCTGCATTTTGTGTTTAATTTCTCTAGATTCTGTTGGGTCAGAGAGCAGTAAAGATGTTCTGGCATTCTTGCTCACTTTGTTAACTTTACATGAAGTTCTGATTGCCAGTTGCTCAGATAACAAGTGACTAGGCAGAATTCTTTAAAGCATTAAAGTTCCTTAAGCCTAAGGTGAGATCTTGAATACATTATTGAATTCTTTAATATCCTAATGGCTAGCAGATTGACAGCTGCACATTTGGCATGCTTTGTTTATTTGGATTTTATTTTTCATTGCAGATTTATTTGGCAATGTACAGTAAGTTTTGTAAACTTGCATCAAGTTTATGAATAAAGAACCATTTAAAACTTACTTTGTCACCTTTCCCTCAAGAGAATGCTATATTCAGATGTCTGTAGCTCCATTGAGTTTCTAAAGTAGGGTATTTAAGGAGGGATGGGGTGTTGGGAGGCTTCAGAGGCAGAGATGCAGATCTAAGGAGCTAGAGAACCTAGAAATGTATGACCATGCCTGGTATGCTCAGGTGTTTGTTTCCCTCACATCCACATTCATTCTAGTGCTTTTTTTTTCTTTTGAGACCAGGTCTCTGTAGCCTAGACTGGCTATGAACTTGTTGCATGAGTCATCACACCTGGCTCAAGTTCAAGTGCTATTTTAATTGATGTCCCTAGTTTCCTCAGTACACCAGTATGCTCCCTCCCCTTTTACCCAGGGACTCTAGGGGCTGTATATTTGGGTGTTCTACTTTATTGAGATTTTTTTCCATGCCAGTTTAATCTTTGGTTTGTTATGTCTGGATGTGCAGTTACGTTCAGAAATATGACAGCGGCCTTCTCTGAAGGTCTCCTTAGGTGCGGAAATCTTTACAAGCCCCGCCCCCAACTGCCCCTCACTTTTGCCTAATGCTCACCTCTAAGCCAGTGGCTGGTGAGAAGAATGAGACCATGATAAGTTTGGATCAGTAGTTCTCTAAGTAGACGTTCCAGAATCTTGGAGACCTTTGTGACCTTTTGAGGATTTTTTGTTTAAGGTATTAAAAAAAACATTTACAGTTTTCACATTCTCATGAGTATACAGTGGAATTTCCCAGAGACAACAAGGCATGTGATCCTTCAACAGACTGAATTTAGAAGCAGATTTAAGAATTCTTGTTTACTATTAAGTCATTAAGATTCCCAGAGTGGGGGCTTGAGAGATGGCTCAGCGGTTAAGAGCACGGGCTGCTCTTGCAGAGGACCTATATTCGGTTCCCTGCACCCACATGGTGGCTCACAGTTGTACCTAACTCCAGTTCCAGGGGATCTGACCCCTCTTCTGACCTCCGTAGGCATTTCAAGAGATTCTTGTAGTGTAAAGTGGCACTTTACTACTGGGAGAAGGAAGATCTGAGAGTTTTCTCCATAAAAGCTTAATTTACTAATGTGTATACATTTTCAATTTAAAAATACTATTTTGGAGACCTGGAGCCCAGGAGGTCCTGAGCTTTCAAAACTCCAGTGTTAACCACTTGCGTGCTGGGGTTACAAACATGCGCCACCACGCCCGACTTTTAAAACGTTTGTATTTGGTAAATTTAACAGTGTAAAGGGTCCTGAAGCCAAAACTGGTTGGGTTTAGTTTTTACCCGAGAGCTGGGGTTAAAAGGACTTGCTTAATCCGGAAGCACCTGAGGGAGTGTGAGGGCGGGGAAGATGCTGCAGCGGTGCTTCAGTTCTTTTGAGGGTTCTTGAAGTAGCATAGGAACCACCAGAGGTTAGGCCTTGTCCCCTGCGATTCAGTAGCCCCGGGATAAAGAGCAAACAGGATCCAAAACGAATAGGCTGCCACTGTCGGGACCAGTGCCTGGTTTGGGGTGTGCTTTTGTAGTAATAAGTCTCCAAAGAATGGCAAGTGCTTTTTATGCCATTTTGTATCACTGGATGACCTACTTAAAAGACCCCGTTCTAATGTCGGGCTCAACGCTTCTTGGCGCTGGGACTTCAAAAGGCCGGTAGGTAGAACCCATTCCCTGCTTCCGAGGAACCTCCCAACTAGAGGAAGGCGCGTAGGTGCGAAGCGGCCAGCGCCGGGAGTCCTCTCCAGCCGGCGGGCGCTGAGTGCCGCGCCGGAAGCCGGCCCCCGGAAGTGGTGCGCGTGCCTGCTCAGTGCACATCCGCCGGGCTGTGCTAACGCTCTGGGTCCCTCCGGGCCGCCGTAGGGCTTGCCCGGGCTAGTAGGCGAGGAATGGAGCCGGTGGGCGGCGGATCCTGCTCTGCAGACCCACGGAGCACCTACGCGCTGAGCAACCTCGCGGAGGTGGTGGAGCGCGTGCTCACCTTCCTGCCCGCCAAGGCGCTGTTGCGGGTGGCCGGGTGAGGAGGGCCGGGCGGCGGGTTGGCGGGTTGGGGACCCGGGCCCTGCCCCAGTGACCCCGCGCCCAACCACTCTGCCGTGGGGCTGCAGGGCTTCCTGCGAGCGAAGCTCCGTGGGGCATTTTCCTCCGGCCCCTGACCGTGCTCTACCGGGACCGTGACTCCCGCAGGGATGTCCTGCCGCTGGGCTGAGCGGCGCGGGGCTCATAGCCGCGGGAGCGATGGCAGCGAGCGTCGGTTCGCAACCCTTTGTGCGTTTGCGTCCCCAGCGTGTGCCGCTTGTGGAGGGAGTGCGTGCGCAGAGTGTTGAGGACCCACCGGAGTGTGACCTGGATCTCCGCGGGCGTGGCCGAAGCTGGCCACCTGGAAGGACATTGCTTGGTCCGCGTGGTAGCAGAGGCGCTTGAGGCAAGTAGGGAGGGGTGCCGCGAACAGTCCTCATTTGCGGGGTTGCTGGGCCGTCCTTGAGAGCTAAATTTAAAATCACATTGTGATACTTGTCCTTGCTTTTGTTAACTCAGGGAGTATTTTCTCGTGTCTTGGGAGGATCTTGTAGTCAGACTTTGTGACTATGTTGTAAAGATGTGCCGCAATTTATTCATTGTGTTAGGCAATTTTAGTATCCACGTTGTTGCTATTACACCGCCTCACAGACCCTTCCTTACACACTGTCTCTGTTTTGCTATTGAAGGCGTTGGATGTTTCTTGCTCAGTGTCACACAGTAGAAAGTCAAGAACTAAAACTTCTGCCCAAATATTTCAACCACGGCCATGTGCTCATTTGCATCTCTGGATTCCTGTATCAAAAACCAGGGCCGAGAGGATCCCTGGGAGGTAAAGACTAAAACTGTGGAGCTGGTGGTGAGGCGGGGATCCCTTTGAGAGCAGCTAGTCTGGTGCTGTTACCCTTCAGCCGTTAGTATGCATAATGTACGAACAGGAATGTTCCACCAAACACAATATAATATAATCACTCACATTGGGAAATTATCATAGATATATTACCTAAAACACATCTGAAGCTGGTGTCCTAGCCAAATTGGGGAAGATAGATTGAACACCAAAATACATACTGATAGTAGCAGATACACCCTTGAATAAGAGACACCCTTGAATTCTACCATTTAGTCTTCAGACTCCTATGCAGAGTTTGTCAGTAATTTTTTTCCTCTTCACATTTTTTTTAATGCGTGTTTTGACTGCCTGTATGGAAGTGCACCACGTGCATGCATTGCCCATAGAGGCCAGAAGAGGGCGTCGGATTCCTGGGAACTGGAGTAACAGATGGCAATGAGCCACAGTATGGGTGCTGGGAACCAAACCCCAGACCTCTGAAGAACAGCTAGTGCTCTTAATCGCTGAGCCATCTCTCCTGCCTGCCAGCGATGATCTTGGTAGCAAAAACGATTCACTTCCCAATTGCTTTAAATAAAATGCGTATTTCTTTGATCTGGAACAGTTTCTTCAGCTTTCCTTCACATTCCTAACCTTGGCACCTAAGAAAATTGAGGCCTTTACTTTGTAGAACATCCACAAATTGGTTGTGAATGGGGTTTGTTAGATTCTGCATCTTTGTTGGGAACAGCACAGAGCATGTAATGCTGTTCTCCAGGTGGCCCATTTGTCCCATTACTGGTGGGATTACTTTAAATTACTTGATCTTTTGTGTCTGCCAGAAACCTCCCACAAAATTACTGCCCAGTTACAATAAATATTTGTGGAGAGCAGCTTTGAAACAGTGTTCTCTTTCAGTTTGTTCACCTATATATGCATATGCTCTTGGTTTCTTATCCAGGGGTTTATCTGTTACTGTCGGTATTTCTGTGGGTGCTCAGACTGTCTCCAGTTTGGCTGTTGAGCCCTCAGGCCAGTGTCAGTGTCTTTTAGCAATCATCCTGTCATTGCTGAGTACTTTGCCTTTTGGCACCAGATGTTTTGAGTCTGTATTTCATTCCTGAAGTTAATGATATCTCCAAGACTGGGGTTTTTAGTGGAGAATGGTGAGCTTCAAAGACCCGGGACTTCTTCAGCATACTCCTTGCTCTTTCAGAGTTTCCTCCCCACAGTCCAGTCAATGGGCAGAGCCAGGGAATGTGTGTACATATATGCAGTTCTTTGATGTCTTCAAGGTACTGATTCCCCTGTATTGAAATCCACAGATGCTCAAATCCCTTATATAAAGTGGCATGGAATTTACATATAGCCTATATAATCCACCCTTATATTTAAGTTTCAAAAAATCTTGTAATACTTATACCCAATACAAAGTAAATGTTTAAACATACTATATATTTTAGGGAATGATGGCAAGAAAAAAGTTTGTACATACTCAGTACAGATAACAGAATCCCCCCCCCCCCAAGTATTTTCTAGTTACATTTGAATCCCTGAATGCACAACTCAGGGATGCAGTGAGAGAGCTGACTGTACATGCATATGCATGTATGTATCCAGAACTATATTTCTGTCAGTATATGGAAACTCATGAGTTCTCATAGGTACATGCAGTCCAACTTAAGATTCTGTTTGGTTTTCTCCCTGTTCATATTTGTACTTCCTTTGGACAATGGGGAACCTGGCTCTCTTTTTTAAAGATTTAATTTATTATTTATGTATGTGTGTGTCTCTGTTAGTATACGCACTTGTGCATGCAGGTGTCCAATAGGGCCAGAAGAGGATGTCACATCTTCTGGAGCTGAAATTACAAGCAGTTGTGAACCACTTGACTCCAGGCTGGGATCTCAGCTCCAGTCTTCTGAAAGAGCAGCAAGCATTCTTAAATGCGGAGCCATTTCTCCAGCCCTGGCTTTTTTTTTTTCCTTTGGTCTTTTTGAGACAGGGTCTCCCTGTATCCCCAGCTGTCCTGGAACTCACTATGTAGACCAGGCTGGCCTTGAACTCACAGAGATCCAGCTGCCTCTGCCTCCTGAGTGTCGGGATTAAAGGCGTGCACCACCACACCTGGGCTGGTTTTTATTTTTATGTTTGAGTTTTAAAGCGCTGCCCCAAATGCGATGTCTTCTGTTTCATGCTGCCTTTGCTTAGGTTTTCTCCTTAACTAAAAAATGTTCTTAAAGATTCTGTTTTTATGTTTTATTTATGTGTATAAATCTGTGTCTGTGAGTGTATGCCATGTGGTCTCAGCTGCTTTATATTGCAGTGAGGGCATTTCATATTGAGGCTTATCACTGTCCCTGATTCTAGGGAGAATTGGGAAGGGAGAAGGAACAATTGGTGGTGGGTGTCAGTAATGAAAGACTCCTAAGGGGAAGATGGCCAACCCCAGTCGCCAGCCGAGCACGCAAGCATCCCACCTGTCTGCATATCAGCCTTGCCCACAAACCACCTGTGGCCTCACCGCCACCTCTGTGCAGTTGGAGTTGCTCATACCTTTTCAGTTGTACTTTGATCCTAGATTAATTTTAAAACTTTCAAATATCACCATTTTTTAAATAAATTATTGAGAATTTCATACATGTATATAAGGTATTTTGATCAAATCCATGCCCACTCCCTCCCCTCCAACTCCTCCCATATCCTCATCTCTCTTTTTTGATAACTTCATCTACTTTTTCCTCTTTTATTTATTTATTTTTTATGGGGCTTTTGGCTACTCTAACATTCCCCCCTCTGAAGAGGTAACCCTAAAATCTTTTAAGGATTAGATAAAAGGCCTCAAATATTTTTGACATTTTTGGATAATATGAATGGAGTATGTTGTTAAGAGGCCCAAGGACATTTTGACTTTTAGCCAAGAAACTGGCTACTTTTCTTTGGGGTCTTTTTACCCTAACTGCCTAGTGAATTCCTATCTCCTATTCTTACCACAACATCTTCTGAAGGGGTTACCCAAATTGCCAATAGGGAATCAGAATGCAGACCACTCTGGCTTCTTCCGTGCTGAACAGGAACACAGTGTGAGGCAATTGGAGAACCCCTTGAGTTCTATCTAAAAGACTCCCAAATTGCATAACTCTTATCTCTGGGGGAAAACAAAGTCCTGGAATCCTAAATAGGAGATGTGAGGGAGAAGTAAAGGCAAGTTCTAGACAGGGAACTAGAAACAAGTCAGAAGAGGGCAATTTTCAAATGTTCATATGAGAGTCCATTGGGATTTCTTGACAAGGGCTTCCAAAAGCATCCCTCTATTGGGTTCCTCCTCAATTTTCTTTTGTCTGCCAAGACTGGACTCTAGAGTGATGGATTCAGGATTTGCTTTCAGGTATTTTGATAACTGTTGGAGTGGTTAGAATCAGTGTCAGTTCCTTCTCAAAGGCTTCTGGATAGGGAGAGAAAACAAATTTGGCCATCATTTTAAAACAATAGCTGGTTGTCTCCCTTAGCTACAGGTGGGCATTACAGTATTGGAGACCAAGATTTGAAGTCTTACTGAGCAGCACTTTCTGGTTAGGAACAAAATCATTGATGAGAAATAATTATATAAATAACTTTATATAGACTTAACCCTAATGTCTGAGAAGTATAATCCTTTGAACTCAAAGAAATACACTGATGACTGTACTCTTTGGTTATACTTTCCTTTGGGTGTTTAAGACCATACAGTTGGCCCAAATAAATCAATTTATTTTTACACTTAAGGTCATTTGCGGATCTGTCTGTTCCTCAGGGATCACATGAGCTTGGAAGGCACTCCTGGCTCCTTCATTTTACCAGTTCCATCTATGTGAAGATAAGTCAAAGGTCCTGCTCGGCCATGTCTGGCTTCACTTGGAAGCATGACTGAGATGTTTCCTCTGAGTTGACTCTCCTCTTTGTAGACTGGACACTGGTTCAGACCTATCTGAACAAGAGGACAGGTGACTCACCACAGTTACAGGACATTTTGAGAGATATTCCCTAGTCCCCTGGAACTCAGTTGACCTTGGAGGGCAAGGGGCAAAAACTGGCCTTTAGGTCCCTCTGACCACATTAGTATAGGCCTCAAACTATGGCTGTTCAACATCCAGTAAGATTAGTTTCAACAGTCTGGTCTTTTTAATTACCGTGTGCTATGTAGGTAAGGCTTGGGTAAACAACCAGGTATTCTCAGATAAACCTTGACTAGATAAATATTTTGTTCCTAAACTAATTGACTAAACTATGACCACAGAAATTTTAAGATTATGTATATATTATTTTTGTCTCATCCTTTATATATCATAACAAACCTACACAGACCTTAATCACTTGTTTAGGCTTTCTCATTTTTTCTGTCTGTTTTGGAAAATATCTCCATTCCCATACCCTTTTAACATCTTTTACATTTTCATTTTCTTTATTTAAAAAAAATTGAGACATAATAGCATTAATAAATTTTCCATGCTGTGAGACTTCTTTTTCTGGGGATGCTAAGCAATGCTTATTCCCTTTTAAGGTTCTAGTGTCAAGTCAATGTTTGATTACAGTTTTACTGGGGAACCAATGAATTTATTGAGCATACTTACTGAGGGATTGCTGAGGCATATGTATGACCTGAGGGTATACACACTGGAAAGCCTTTACCCAGCATGGGTCATACCTTCTCTTCCTAGCCTTCCCAAGATTGTATACTTTAGTCTTTCCAAAATCCAGGAGGCCATGTATGATTAGGGCCAAATTACGTACAGTTGGCTGGGAAGAGTGGCTGTATAGTCCAGTGAGGGTCCATTGACCTTGCTTGACACTCCTTTAATGAATGAGCACAACCATCAATTAGTGATCAGGCTCAGCTGAAGTCATGATGATGGTAGTTATTTCATGCAGAAGGGACTGCTGTATAGCATCATCTTATTAAAAGGACCTGGAGTTTAAAAGGACTTGGTGCAAGGATCCACATGTGAGGGAGAACATAACGTCGTTTGTTTTTCTGAGTCTGTGTTACTTTACTTAGCATAACAGTTTCTAGATCCATCCATTTACCTGCAAATTTCGTTATTTCATCTTTCTTTATTGCTGAATAGAACTCCACTGTGTAAATATACCACATTTTTGTTAACCACTCGTCAGTTGAGGGACACTTAGGTTGCTTCCATCTCTTAGCTATTGTGAAAAGAGCAGCAACAAACATGGTTGTACAAGTGTCTCTACAATAGGATGAGTCTTTTGGGTATATGCCAAGGAGTGGTATAACCGGGTCATATGGTAAGTTTGTTTTTAGTTTTTTAAGAGTTCTCCGCACTGTTTTCCATAGAGATTGCAGAAGTTTGCAATCCCACCAGCAGTGAATGAGCATTCCCCTTTCTCCACATCCTCACCAGCATTTGGTATCATTTGTTCTCTTGATCCTAGCCAGTCTCTTTGGGGTAAGGTGATATCTTAGGGTGGTTTTAATTTGCATTTCCCTAATTACTAGCCATGTTGAACACTTTTTGAGATGTTTCTTAGTCATCTTTATTTCTTCTTTTGAGAACTCTCTGTTTAGATCTTTAGCACATCTTTTAATTGGATCATTTGGTTTCTTGCTTCTCTGTTTTCTGAGTTCTTTATATATTCTGGATGTTATATAGGAGTTTTTTTCAAAAGGGCCAGTGAGATGGATAAGTAGGTCAAGGTGACTCCGACCACATGCAAAGGTCTGATTCTAAACCTCCCCCCGACATGTGGTAGAGTGAAAAAGCCACTTGTGGAAGGGTATTACCTAACCTACTCATACCAGGCTCCTGCCAACCCTACTCCAGCAGAAGGATGGGACAGGAAAATTGTGAGTTCTAGGCCAGTTGGACTGCACAATAAATTGGGTTTGGATCTTCAAAGATGTTCCATTGATCTATGTCTCTATTTTTTTTGCCAGTACCATGCTGTTTTTATGACTATAGCTCTGCAGTATACTTTGAGATCTGGTATAGTAATCCCCCCAGCATTGGCTCTTTGTGCTCCCGGTTGCTTTGGCTATCCGGGGTCTTTTGAGCTTCCATATGAATTTAAGGATTTTTTTTTCTAATTCTGTGATGCATGTCATGGGGATTTTGATTGGGATTGCCTTGAATCTATATATTGCTTTTGGTTAGGATGGTCATTTTCACAATATTAATTCTTCCAATCCATGAGCATGGGAGGCCCTTCCATCTCCTAGTGTCTTCCTCAATCTCTCTTTAACGATTTAAAATTTTCATTGTAGAGATCTTTGGTGTTTTTGGTCAGGTTTATTCCGAGTTTTTTTTTTTGCTATATGCAATAGTGAATGGGAGCATTTCCCTGTATTCTTTCTCCAATTGCTCATTATTGGTGTATAGAAAGGCTACTGATTTTTGTAAATTGATTTTATAACCTGCCACTCTTAAAATGTTGATCAGTTCTAGGAGTTTTTTGGTGGAACTTTTGGGATCTCTTAGGTATAGTTATCATATAATTTGCAAAAAGTGATAGTTTGACCTCTTTTCCAATTAATACTCCTTTAATTTCTTTCTCTATGTTGAAAAGGAGTGGAGATAGTGGACATCCTTGTCTGGTTCCTGATTTTAATGGGAATGCTTCCAGTTTTTCTCCATTTAGAATGATGTTAGCTGTGGGTTTGTTGTATATAGCTTTAATTATGTTGAGGCATGTTCCCTCCAGTCCAGTTCCCTTTAGGACTTTGAACATAAATACGTGCTGCATTTTGTCTAAAGCCTTTTCTGCATCTTTTTTTTTTTTTTGGTCTTTTTGAGACAGGGTCTCCCTGTAGCCCCAGCTGTCTTGGAACTCACTATGTAGACCAGGCTGGCCTTGAACTCACAAAGATCTGCCTACCTCTGCCTCCCAAGTGCTGGGATTAAAGGTATGCACCACCATGCCCGGCTTTCTGCCTCTATTGAGATGACGGTGTGGTTTTTGTCTTTGAGTCCATTTATATGATTAATGACGATTACTGACGAATCCACTTTACCAGTGGCTCCTAACTATGCTGGTATTCACAGTATATTCTATTGGAGCCAAAAAACTGGAGAAGCAGGTGCCCTACCACCTTCATGAGTGCATGTGTACTTGAATTCTGTAGCATAACATGGGGCTTTTCTTCCCCCTGATAGACAAGGCCATGATGGAAATGGAAATTTCAGAGAGGACAAAACAAAACCGAATTCCGTTGAAAAAGAGGGTGGGAGCTGGCGAGATGGCTCAGCTCAGCAGGGTTAAGAGCACTAGCTTCTCTTAGAGAGAGGACCTGGGATAGTTTCCCGGCAGCCATAGTCTTCCTTAATTCCAGTTCCGGGGGATTAGATGCCCTCTTCTGGCCTGTGCAGGCACTGCATGGATGCACTTAAATACATGGAGGCAAAATAAAAGAATAAAATATTAAAAGATGAATCAAGTCTAGTATTTGTTTAAACATAGGAAAGCCAGGGCCTAAAAGCTTCATTGACACTTTCTCTGCTGGCTTATGGCAGAGTCGGCACTAGGCGTAACTCTTGAGCTCTCCTCTTTATTCAGCAGACATTAGAAACTGAATGGCTCAGAAACTGGGTCCCAAGTTTCAGTGGAGTTGTAGGGTTCAGGCAAGTCTCTGTTTAGCTCTTGTCGAAGGGCATTTAGCCTGAGTATTGCTAGTGTTTTATCAGAAGGATGTTTGGAAGTATATAAACATTCTCTGGAGTTTTAGCTCTTTGTAGGTAATTATACTTTTAAAGTGTCATGTGGAACATTTATATCTGTAGGTCTTATCTAGCCCACAACACCATAAGTTACCATGCCACTTCATCTTTTCTGAGTTTATCTAGAATCTACTCTGCAGCATTTAAGGATTCTCCAGATCACAGTGCATCAAAATTTTTTCTTCTAACCAGCAATGATGATGAAGCTTTGCTCTATATCATATACTTTATTCCATTCTGATAGTACAAATACTTGAAATCTCTTAATCTTTTTCATTTAATTCAGCCGCTTTGGTACTTGTGTGTGATGTGAGGCTTAGTGGAAAGTGAACAAAGTCTGAAGAAGCCCTACTTAAAAGTGGAGACAAATCATAAATAAGAATGACAGGTCATTCGTGAGGTCCCAGGTACCAAGGGTGTGGCACCTAGGAGCTGATATTGAAGAGTGGGTGGCACTACGGTGCCTATAAGGAAGCGGTTTTAAGTTGGTTGAGTTGCAAGGGAACCTACATGGGTATGTGGGTCTGATGAAAATAAGCTGGCTTCTTGGGAAACTAGTAGGTAAAGCTGGAGTGAAAACCTGGAGTTCTTGATTTGATAGGCAGCCTCTGTTGAGAAGCCTCTGTTACTGTGATGCCTGTTCCAGTCAGGCAAGAGGCATGGTTTGCTAGTCCTTCATGTATCTGTTCTAAAAGATGAGATGAGCATTATGAAAACCAGCTTAATTTGGTTTTTTTGTTTGTGGTCTGGAACTCACTATGTAGACTAGGCTGGCCTTAATCTTACAGCTCTACCTGCCTCTGTCCCCCAGGTGCTAGGAGTAAAGGGGTGCACCACCATGGCTGGCGAAAATGACCTTCTTGAAGGCTGAGTTAAATTTGGCTTGGAAAAATAATGGGTGCTCAATAAATAAACTGAAAATGTTAGGAGGGAAGCACACTAGACGTGGGTGGGCTCAGTGGAGGATTAGACACTTGGGGAGCAGAAAAACATTCACAGACTAATGGATCTAATTCTTTCTTTCTTTGCAGAATGTTCACATCTTACCCAGGACAGTTCTCTACATGGCTGATTCTGAAACTTTCATCAGCTTGGAAGAGTGCCGTGGCCATAAAAGAGGTAACTTTCAGAGAGAAGGTTGGGTTTTTGTTGTTGCTGTTTTTTACGTCTGTGCCATTTTGATAATTGTTCTGGTCCTGAGCGTTGGTGCCCTTCTGAGGCTTTTAGCTGCTGCTCTGACTTAGCTCACCTTGCCTGTGTCTGGTTTTGACCTTGAAGTGTGCTTTGTGCTTCACGTTGGGTTCTAAACCACCGTACAACGGAAACGAGATTTTTAGAAAGATATTTTTCTCATTTTGGAGTCCTCAGGCACTGTATTAAAACAGGAGGCCTGACTTTGGTTATACAAGCCTATTAATATATATTATATTATGAGGTTCCATTTACCAAAGTTAGGTGTATAGTTGGTGTATTTTTGGCTTAAGGGAAAATACAGACTAGGAATCCAAGATGGTTACATTGCGGCCAAGTTTGACTTGAACAGTGGCTTCTCATTGTCTGATTTGAATCTTACTGACATCAAGTAGTAGTTACACTGTGACATCAGCTGAAAACAAAGGTGGAATAAATAGCACATCTCAGATTAACTCTGCTGCTAAATTTGATGCCATTTGGCAAAAGTAGCATGTGAACATGGGCAGAGGCAAACTAGTGATGACAAAGGTTAGGTTTAGAATTTGAAATACAAAACAGAAGCCAAAATGAGGAAACCTCTTAATTTTAATCAAAATGTTCAGACTTCATAAAGTGCCTTTTTGAACTTACTATGTAGCCAAGGGTGACCTTGAACTCCTGATTCTTCTGCCTCCACCTTCAAGGATTACAGGCATGTACCACCATGTCTGGTTTATGCAATGATGGACCTAAAGCGTCTTGCATGCTAGGCCTGCACTCTACCATCTGAACTACAGCCCTTGCCATGTAAAGTGCTTTGATGTCAGATTTGTACATTGTGATCTGATCTTAAATGGATGATATTTAATGATGTACTACTATATTGTTACAGCAAGGAAAAGAACTACTATGGAAACAGCATTTGCCCTTGAGAAGCTATTCCCGAAACAGTGTCAAGTGCTTGGGATTGTGACCCCAGGGATTATAGGTGAGAGAAACGAACAACTTGATTTTCTCTTTAATGTGTAGGGTTCCATAGATTGGTGAATTATTTATAGCTAAAAACTACATTTACATTGCTGGTCATCTAAAATACAATAAAGTCAATCACACTTGCTACAGTTACATTGATCTTAATATTTGTCAAGTTGTTGCGGTTAGTATTTTAGATCTTAAGGATGCCTAGGGCTGATGCAATCCATGCTTCCCCTTAGCCATTCATAGGAGGGAAAAGACCTTATTTTACCTGCTTTAAAGTAGGAAGTATTTGCAGCCATTTTCAGAGTCTAGTCAGTTTACTCAATCCTGTTTCTTGCAGGTAGGGGCAATTTAGTGTCATAAGCTTCAATGAGTCTTAGTTAGAAACTTATTTTCTGCATGCTGCCACTGTGAGGTTGTACTCTTTCCCATGACGGATTGCTGATGGTGAATTTTTGCTGTTGCTATTTTGATTGGGGTTTTTTTGGCGCAGCAATGGTGCAGTGGTGAAGATATCTGGATTGGGAGTACAGCTGTTCCACTAGTGTCTGTGTGGCTTTGGGCAAGTTCCCTGATATCATGGGGCTTCAACTTCCTCATGACTGAATAGGATGATAGTATTAATACCTTGAAGGGTTATGAAGAAGAAATGACTTTACACATCTATAGTATTTAGGACAAATCATGCAGTAAGCTAATGTTCGCTATTATTTTCTGGGGCCCAAGCCAGAACCTTGCACATACTAGGTAAGCACCCCTATCACTAAACTACTCCCCATCCCTGAAGGACTTAAGAGACTTAAGAGTCTTGTACAGTAGAGCACAAAGTGTTTCAAATGAATAGGGTAAACATACTTTGGGAGGGACTGTTTAATCTCTCCCACCACTAGCTCCTTACCTGTGAACTATTGTATTTACTTGCTTATACATTTCTTGTTGGACTATTAAAAGGCCATGGTTTTCTTCAAACTTTTGAATTGTTTTTAAAGTGGCTGGTAGCATTTTTATCATTACTGGTTACTCTCAGATGCTTATATAGTCATAGCTCTCATCATTTTCTTGGTCTTCCCTATACATCCACTGTGACTCTCCGCAAATACAGCTGAGTTTCTTCTTTTAAAAATGTCTACATGGAGGGGCTGGAGAGATGGCTCAGCAGTTAAGAACACTGGCTGTTCTTGCAGAAGACCTGGGTTCGAATGCCAGCACCCACATGGCAGCTAATAGCTGTCCACAACTCCAGTTCCAGGGGATCCAACAGCCTCTTCTGTGCTCCGCGGGCATTACACGACACGGGTACACTTACCTACATGTAGGCAATACACACATACACATAAACACACACACGCGCGCGTGTGCACACACACACACACACACACTATTTAAAAAAACGTCTGCATGGATAGAAAGAAAGGAGGGCCAACCGTGGGTGGCAGTCCTGCTCTCCGTGACCTCCTATGAGTGGGAGAGCATTGGAGCCTTTCTTCTGCCACTACCTTTATCTGAAGCAGCTTTGACTTGAGTTTTCAGCGTCTTATTTCAGGACTGAGTGGCTCTGCTCCTCACAGTCAGTGCTTTTTTGAGCCTGGCTAGTTCCTTCCCTTTCCTTTCTCTTGGTAATCCCTGCCAGAATCCCTGTTCTGATTTCTGTGATGTAACTTAGTTTTGACTTGTCACTGCCATATAAATGGATAGTCTTTTTGTGTTTTGACTCTTTACTCAATATAAATAACATGTTTTTGAGATTTATTTATTTTACATATATATCAGTCATTTCTTTGTGTGTGGGTATGGGTATGCATGTGTGCATGCGGGGGTGTGTACCCACGTACTTATATGCACGCGGAGGTCAGAGGTTGATGTCAGGTGTCTTCTGTCCCTCGTCATCTTTGGCTAGATGTCAGTATGGCCAGTGCGCTCCAGGGATCTGCCTGTCTCTGCCTCCCCCAGTGCCTGGCTTTTTGAGTTTGTGCTGAGGGTCTTCATGTTTGTGTGGCAGGTACTTTACAATTGAGCCTTCTTTCCAGCTCTTCATTTAAGCTTTTGAGTCATCCTGTTATATATAAATAAGACTTGTATTTTTCCATTCTCATTTTTGATAGATGTTGTAAATGAAGCTGTTAAGACAGTTACTTTTGTGTCTTTAATTTCTCTTAATTATCAAGAAGTGAATTTCTGGGTCTTGGCATTGATGTATATTTAACTTAAAAAGAAACTGTCAGTTTTCACAAATTTCTTTCCTCCTATACTCAACCAGCAATGCTAGAAGGTTCTAGTTGCTGTGTATTTTTGCTAGCTGTCATGACTTTTGAATTATAGCCAGTGTAGTGGATATGAAGATATTTCTTTGGATTGTTTTTCTTTGAATTTCTCAAATGACTAATTATGCTAAACACCCTTTTGTGTTCATTGGCTATTTGTATACTGTCTTTTGTGAAATGTCTTTTTTTTTTTTTTTTTTTTTTTGAGACAGGGTCTCCCTGTAGCCCCAGCTGGCCTTGAACTCACTGAGATCCACCTGCCTCTGCCTCCCTCCCGAGTGCTGGGATTAAAGGGGTGCACCACCACATCTAGCTCCAAAATGTCTTAGAGCATTTTTTCTTAGAATGTTTGTTTACTACTAAATTGTAGAAGTGTTCTTTATGTGTTCCAAGTCCTTTAACAGGTGTACATGTAAGTACTTTCTCCTTTCTCCTAGCCTGTGTCTTGTCATTCTTCTTCTTTTTCTTTTTTTTGGTCTTTTTGAGACAGGTTCTCCCTCCAGCCCCAGCTGGCCTGGAACTCACTATGTAGACCAGGCTGGCCTTGATCTTGACCTCAGAGTCTGCCTTCTGAGTGCTGGGATTAAAGACACACACCACTGTGCCCGGCGCCTTTTGAGCAGAAAACTTTCTTTTGGTGAAATCAGTTTTATCATTCTTTTCTTTAATGTAATTTTTAAAAATTTTTATTTATTATCATACTGTGTATGAGTGTTATGCCTGCATGGGTATAAGTACACCCATGTCGTGCAGTGTCTGAGGAGGTCAGAAGAAGACATCAGATCCCCTGGAACTGGAGTTATACTGGTTGTTAGCTGTCATGTGGGTGCTGGGAATTGAACCTGGGTTGTCTGCAAGCGCAGTCGGTGCTTGTAACTGCCATCTCTCTAGCCCCCTCTTATGTAATTTTTATGTCCTAAGATATCTGTCTACCCCATAGTCATAAGATATTTTTTTTATGTCTTCTTTAAACTGTGTAGTTTTAGCTGTAATATTTAGTTCTGCAGCTTAACTTGTGTATGTTGTAATGTAGGGGTTTGAAACTTTTTTTTTCCTTCTGTATATTTACTTAGCTATTCCATAAGCATTGTTCTTTTCTTTACTCATTAGCTTATTTTAGTGTAATTAGGTCCCACTCGTTGATTGCTGACCTTTAGTAATGTGTATGAGCCTGACTTTGGGTTTTATTCTGATCCATTGATCCATTTTGCCCTGCTTTGGGTTTTTTAGAAACTTACCAGTTTTTTTTAAAGGAGTATTTTTCTTTTTTACCAGAGTAATAATTTATTATTTCAAAAAATTAGGGCCAGTGCTGGAGAGGCAGAGGCAGGCAGGTGGCTCTCTCTGAGGCCAGTCTGGTCTGCATAGCAAATTCCAGGCTAGCTGGCACTATAGGGAGACTGACTCAAAACAAACAAGCAAACCCAAACAAACAACAAAACTAAACCTGGAAACTTACGTGTCTAGTACCGTCTCTGCCTTGTCTTCTTCATCTAGATTCACAGACTGAAAATACTCTTGCACACTTATTTTGTTTTTGTTTATGAAAACACTTTCATTCTGAACATATTTTAAAGTATGAAACAAATCTGACAGTACACCCTTTGTTTACTCTGGATGTTTGTCTAGTGACTGAACTGCAGTTTAGGAGGGTGGGATCGGCTGCGTTACATTGTTAGTAAATTCAGTGTGTACTGAATGTCTTTTGTGCCATTTTTCCCTAGTGACTCCAATGGGATCAGGTAGCAATCGACCTCAGGAAATAGAAATTGGAGAATCTGGTTTTGCATTATTATTCCCTCAAATAGAAGGAATAAAAATTCAGCCCTTTCATTTTATTAAGGATCCAAAAAATTTAATACTAGAAAGACATCAACTTACTGAAGTAGGTAAGTTACTCTGTATCATTAATTGCTCATTTTGTTGATTAACTTTGTTCTGTTTTCATTCTGGCTAGTTAGTGGCTTTTAGAGGCTCTGGGAGAAACTGAATTATGTATACCTCCTACTGGTGCTAGGGCTTGCCACAAGAGGCTGGTACAGTGCATTTTTGGTAGAATTGGTTTCAAATTATTTGTCATAAAGTCCTAGAAGACCAGAGGTCAAAATTTTCTATAAGTACTGTTGATACATTTGTTTATATTTATGAATTTTGAAGACACTCTTGATCTTTCAATAGGTTCTTGTCATTTTGCCTTATTTTTGTTATTTAAAGTTGAAAAATTTTTGAAGTTTTTAAAAATACAACTAATAACCATTTGTTATCCAAGTTTTTAGAAGAAACATGTTGGGTTCAGTAGACTAATGGAAGCTAGGAATAGGATGGTAAACTTGAAGCTGAACTAGTTACAGCGGTCTACAGCCAGGGTTTTACCAGCACCTCTCAGACAGGTGTGGCTAAACTTGAAGAGCTAGTGAGTAGGACGTCTGGTGTCTGGGCTTTGATGGGAAGCTTGCTTGTTACAGTAAGGGACAAAGCAGCATGAAGGTCTTTTATCAGCTGCATCTGAGAATGAACTGTGGGGCTTATTTCACTCATTATCACTGTTGTCATAAAAGCTCTTCTGTGCTGATACCTCAAGTGCATAAGTCAGCGAGCTCGAAGAAATAAGCCTTTATTTGAAGCGGCATGTGGATCTGCTCGTTTGCTAATTTCTTGTAGTCAGTTCCCTACTTACTGTGCTTCCATGCTGCTGAATGCTTAGGTGAGTCAGTCATTTCATTCTTGCACCTCTGCAGGTTGTAGATGAGGAAACAGATTTGGAAAAGTTAAGAAACTTGCCCAAACTTAAAGACCAAGAATAAAGATTGGTGTGACAAGTAAAGGAAAAGTATGGTTTATTGATCAGAGAAGGCATGTACATTGAGCCTGGCTTCTGCAGCTGTCAACAGTATAAACAGAGTGGTTGGTGGAAGGGGACAGAACAGAGTAGTAAGACCAGCCAGAGCTGGGAGTCTGCACACAAGCCAAGCTCTCAGTATAGCCATCCTAGCCCTGTAATATACTATGAAGAAAGCATGTTGTGCTGAGGAGGTGGCTTAGTGGATAAATGGCTTGTCAAAGTAGCATGGGGACTGGAGTTTGGATCCCAAGCATGCACATAAAAGTCAGGTAGGCCTGGCAACCCGTCTTTAATCCCAGCACTTCAGAGGTACAAACAGGGCTCCCCAAAGTAAGCAAAGAAGACACCCAACATCAGCCCCTAGCCTCCACACACATACACACTCACACGTGTGCTTACAAACACATGAACATGCAAACACACAGAAGCCCCTCTCAACAAAAACAAAAACGCAGACTTGTACCTGCCCTACTTCTGCTACTTTCTAGCTCTTTGGTGCAAGTTTCCTCATCTGTAGAGTGGAAATAACCTGTAGAGGCCTGAGGACTAAAGGACTGACTAAAGCATGCAGCAACACAGAGGTATGAGAGTAGGGAACCAGGGAGACAGGCAGGTGATCAGACCTGAGGAGGAGCCTGGGGACTGAGTGGTGACTTCTGAACTTTACACATAGGAGACAGAAACTCAGCATGGTCCAGAGAAGAAAATGGACCCCTTTGAGAGAGCTTGTTTTTAGGTTTTAGTATAGGTAGATGATTAAATCTTGTTTGTGTTCTGGAGTTGTGATATGGTGACTCTGGGCAGTAGTAGCTGACCACAGTCTGTCCCCCTGGAGCACCTTGTGAATCCCCAGTCAGATAGACACATCTTGTAGTACTCTTTGGAGAAATCTTTCCCAAATGGTACATGAAAAGAAATGAGGTTGTTCTAAGGTCTGTGTAGTATTCTTTGTTAACGTTAGCTTGTGGAATGAACCAATTTTAATTTTAAGGAGTAAAAGCAAAACTATTTCTGAAGTTTCATAAAAAGCCAATTCGTTGAAAAAACTGCAAGCTGAGTGTAAGTCAGTGTATGTGACGACACCATCCTTGCTTCTTAGACCTGCCAGCCAGCAGAGCAGGCGGAGTGAATAACCATGGATATGCTAGGAAGATAGGAAGGAACTCACTGAAGGTGAGGGTCTCAACTTCAGTGTGGTCACTGTCCTGGGTTGGTACTGAGAAAATGTTACTATCACATCCTCCCTGTGCTTAGTGAAGACTTTATTGACATTTCTCAGGAAGGAGGTTCCTAATGACTTCCTTCTCCCTTCCTTCCTCCTGCCCTTCCCTCATGTTGTATGTATATGTGGAGGCCAAAGGTTGATGTCAGGTATCTTCCTTGGTTGCTCTTCACCCTAACCTCTTATGAATAAATAGCCACATCATTGTCCCACGCTAGTCAGTTCTCTGGAATTAACAATCTTGTAAAATAAAAACGACTTGATCCCAGAGACGACTTCTCACTCTGAAATTTGTTCAACAAAACAGAATGATATTCTCAATTTGCTAGGCTAGCCTATAAGAGGGGAATAAAAGACACTTTAGTAATGGTTTGGTGTACATGGTTTTATGAAATACTGTTATTCTTTTCTCTTTGCAAATCCTATATGGAGAATTAGAAATGGCCCAGAGGCAGATTCTAGACTAAATTATTATTTATGTTAGTAATTGGTCATATTGCAGGGGCAGTAGGGATGGAGACAGCTGCCTGCTGTGGCCTGCAGCTTAGGAAGTAGCTCTCTATCCAGGTACCATTGGATCTTTGCTTTCATCACAAAAAAACAATTGTAGGATGAGCCAGTGTGAAGCAGAGTTGGAGTTTATTAAAAGGAGGTTTTAATACAAATTTAGGCATGGGGTTGAGAGGCATTCATGGAAAGTAGATGTGGGGTTCTCAGAGTCACACATCAGTCTTTTCAATAGTTCTGTGTAGGTTTTGAAGTTACCATCTCTTAAGGATTGCTAAGAAATTTAAAGGAATTACAGAATGTTTCCTGTGTACTGGACTCAGTTACATTTGATAAAACTAGTTTGTGAAGATGCAGGGAATTAGGATATCTTTACTGTAAATAAAAGTTGCCAGTTTTGTTGATGAGTTTTTTCAGAAAATATCCTGGAGAGTGAAGCCTTGTCTGAAATTAAATGAGCTTAGGCATTAAGCCTGGGTTATTACTATGTTAACAGTCTTATTTGAAAATATTTCTCTATAAAAGAAGCATTCTATGTTGGCAGCCTTCAGAGCAGATGCTAAGTATGCTGGAATTCTTGGTGAGAGGCTTCAAGCCTTCTGGAGTGAAGGGCTCCTTTTCCTTCCTTTGTCCCCATAATTCTCCTGTCTCTCTGTACTCTCAATCTTCTTGCATGAGCCTTGTTTCTGATAACCATACCTTTTGTCTATCAAGAGGGAAGCCATGTGGCTGAGTTAAATGGAAACAAATGTAGTTAGATGTTGGGTCTTCTTCTTGTCCCAGAAGCCACCTCTGTTTGGTGTACTGCTAGTCGGTTTCAAAGGGATGCTCTGTAAACAAAGTGTCAGGTTCAGGTGAAAACCTGGGAGCTCTGGGAAGTGGATCACAGTGGCTCCAAGCTCTGCTACCTGATTTTTAGACATCCTGCCATTGAATCAAACTTCTTTGGGGTGTGCTTCCAATGGCCAGTCCATCTTCTCTGCCACTTCCTGCCCTAGGAGTAGGTGGGCGGAGTCTGTGTTTCTGTGGTATAGTAGTTTCCTGAAGCTGCTGTAAAATTACCACTGATTTTTTGGCTGAAACACAAGTTTATTCTCTTCTATCCAGGAGACCAAAAGTCTGTAATCCAAGTATCAGTAGGGCCTTAGGCCCTCTGCAGACTCCAGAGGGGAGACTGTTCTTCATCTCCTGCTTCTAGTGACTGCTGGCATTTCTCGCCTTCTTGCTTCTGTGTTCACACTGCCGCCTCCTCTGTCCTCTTAAGGACACTTGTCATTGGACCTAGGGCCATTTGATAATCCAGATGATCTCTTCTCAGGATCCTTGAGCTTTTTCAAAGATCCTTTTACCAAATAAGGGTCACACACACTCATAGATGCAGGGATTATATAGGGATGTGTCTTGTCGGGGGCTACCAGTCACCTCACTTCAGACATGTTAATGCCCTTTCTCCATTTTCTTTGGGCTTTCAAATTCCCACTGCTGTCCATTCTGTGGTTCTGTGTAAAGCAGTGTCACTTTTGTTCCAGATGTCAGCCCGTGTGGAACTACCATGCATCCTGCGTGGTCCACTGAGGGCTGCCGCTCTTATATATAGCCACTTGTTTGTGTGACGTGTTATATTATCTGCAAATAGCTATCGAGGTTTTATTAATGGAAAAATTGCAACTAAGCTTGACTAGTATTAAAGTTTATAGAAAATGGAAAACTGACAGCTTCAGCACTAAGTAGCTTCAGGAGTGCCAGTCAATAGCAGTAACATTTTATTTTGCAGGATGTATAAAGTAATTCCTATTCTAAGATTGTCTTCCACATCTCTGCAGGTCTTCTAGACAACCCTGAACTCCGTGTGGTCCTCGTCTTTGGCTATAACTGCTGTAAGGTGGGAGCCAGTAATTACCTGCAGCGAGTAGTCAGCACTTTCAGCGACATGAATATCATCTTGGCTGGAGGCCAGGTGGACAACTTGTCCTCACTAACTTGTGAGAAGTATGCCTGGTGTACTTTGCATTTCTGCCATGGGTGAAGGGAAATGAGTTCAGGTGCTCATTACTTTGGGCTTTTAAAAGCAGATTTGAAGGATTGCTAATGTACAGTTCATTCCATTTTGCTATAGCCAAGAGTTTTGCTACACATAATTCTACTTACAGTCAAAGAACTAAGCATATTTATTGTCCTTTAAGAGCTTCATAGTTGTACTCATGTACTTTTAAAAATTGATTTTCAGCAGTGATTTTCTTTCATAGCTCTGGTACTCCTTATGACCCCAAGGTGTTACTCCTACAAACCAAGAAACCATCAATGAAGTTAAAAGAAAAGACAGCTTTGTTTCAATACAGAATTAATTTGCTAATTGGGAGAAGTTCAGTTAGAAACCAAACAAGCATGCTGTCAAGAGGAAAGAAGACTAGGTTTTTAAAACGGGGGAAGGAGCCAGGCATGGTGGTGCACACCTTTAATCCTAGCACTTGGGAGGCAGAGGCAGGAGGATCTCTGTGAGTTCAAAGCCAGCCTGGTCTACACCGTAGTTCCAGTCCAGCTGGGGCTATAGGGAGACCCTGTCTCGAAAAGACAAAGGAGAGGGGGCTGGGGAGAGGGTAGGGTGAGGTGAAGTAACTTGTTTTAAACAATTTTCAGTTGGCCCTTAGTATGTAAGGCAATTTGAGTTCAGAATAGATGGGTGCTGGGTCTGTCTCTATGTAAGCTATACACATTAGGGGCTGTTGTGAGGTCATCAGAAAGCCTAAGTCTTCTGAGACAAGCTGGGTGTGACGGCACACGTCTTTAATCCCAGAACTTGGGAGGCAGAGACAGGAAATCAAGGTTAGCCTGGTCTATATAGTGAAATCCAGGTTGCCTGGGGCTACAAGAAGACCCATCTCAAACGAATAAAAAGCTTTTGAGACATCCAACCAACTAGCTAGCTAGCAGAAAGAATCCTATGGTTGGAAATGGGGCCTTAAGCACATTCTTTCCAAATAGTTACATGAAGGTTGAAGATTGAGAACTTGTGTCTGTGAAGCAAACTTCAGCCTTTCACGTATGATCTCTGAGGCTCATAGACTGTTCTCTCTTGACCAAAAATGCAGCCTCTTAAAAGCCCCCCCCCCCAATTGCTGCGTTTTTGTTTTGTTTTTAAGTAAGTAATGAGCAAAGTGTTTTTTATGACAATTTCTCAGAGTTACTTATCTAAGCTCAATGTTTAGAAATCTGGTGGGGTTGGGAAAACTACCTATGGCAGTTTCCTAATCTTTGGTCACAGCCCCCTCACCTCCCACCCCCAGCATTTTTTAAGTACCTTAACTGCTATTCCTGGGTCTATGTTTTAAACAGTTCTGTACTAGATCTTTTGAAAGGCTTTTTAAAGCAAAAATTGTAGATCTTTGCTTTTATTGCTTTTAAATTACACATAACATGGAGCAATTGTGATTTAACGTGCAGTTTACCTTTGAAAAGCAAATACTTCACTCATACCTGTAAATCTGCCACTCTAGCCTGCTTGTGTACCATCTGCTCTTTATATCTATTATGAAAAATACACTCCCTAAAGCTATTATACCTTAAATGCTAAACCAGGCTGGCCTCAAACCAACAGAAATGTGCCTGCCTCTACCTCCCAAGTGCTGGGATTAAAGGTGTGTATCACCACATGTGGCAGTCTGTTCTTATTTTAATGTTATTCAGATAACCCAGCCTTCTCCAGCCCTCCCAAAGATAGGCACATAATTGAGTCAAGAGATTGACATTATATAATTGTAGCCCAAAGACTGTGATAGAGCAGGACTTCAGAAAGGGTTCTGTCTCAATTTGCCACTGGTTATTCTTAGTCTTAGTTTAACCTTGCTAACCCAGATCTTGTTGATAAATGTGATAGGGATGTGAGGTCTATGTTTCTTCCAGACATATTCATTATATATGCTCTATAACTCTTACTGACACAGCATTTTTTTTCCTAAGGACAAGGTATTTCATTTTTAAAAAGTCAATAATGGCTAGTGAGATGGCTCAGTAGGTAAAGGCACTTAACACCAAGGCGGACAACTGGAGTTTGATCCCTAGGACCCAAAAGGGGAAGGAGGGAAATAATTCCCACAAGTTGTCCTCTTAACCTCCCTGATTGCTGTGGGACGTGTATGCTTCTGTGTGCACACCCACTCCCATACCCATCCCCACACACTCTAAACACAGTAAGTGTAATACAACAATTTTTAAAAGATTTCATTTAAAATTACGTGTTTGTGCCATATGAGTGCACGTGCTTTCAGACACCAGAAGCATTGGATCCCCTGGAGCTGGAGTTACAGGCAGTTGTGAGCTGCCTGACATAGGTGCTGGGAACTGAACTTGGTCCTCTGGAAGGAGGACCAGTGCTCTTAACCACTGTGCATCTCTTCAGCCCACTCCCACAATTTTTTTAAAAGTAAATACAAACAAGAAAAAAATTTCTTAACAACTCAAGACATACTCCAGGTTCAACAGGAAGCATAGTAAACAAACCTGTTTACAGTAGACCCATAATCAAAGCTAAACTATCTAGAGTTAAAAGTTATCTTCTGTTTTTATTTTTTGGGGGGTCTTTTTGAGACGGGTCTCCCTGTAGCCCCAGCTGTCCTGGAACTATGTAGACCAGGTTGGCCTTGAACTCACAGAGATCCGCCCGTCTCTGCCTCCCGAGTACTGGGATTAAAGGCGTGTGCCACTACACCCAGCTGTTTTATTTTTAATACATCTTTTTTCACAATTTGATGGCTGATGGTGGGAGGGCAAGATGCCACAATGTAAATTATACTATTTTGGAGATGCTACTTAGTGATAGAGTGCTTTTGTCCACCACCACTACAAAAAAGGCCAATGTCTTGGTGTCTGTATACACAAAATTGCAAGGATCCATGGGACACTGAGCTATGAAGATACTCAGTACCTGTTAGTAACCCAGGAAGAATTTTGAGGTCTTTGTGAACTACACAGCCCCTTTGTATGTGTGGTGAAAAAGAGCAGATGCTTGCCTTTCTTGTTCTGCCCTCTGTATTTCTGGTATGTTATTTATTTATTTATTATTTTTATTTTGTGTATGAATGTATTGCCTGCATGTATGTGAGTGCACCCGTGTCATGTAGTGCCTTGGAGATCAGAAGAGGGCTTCAGATTCCCCTGGAACTGGAGTTAAGGATGGTTTGTAGCTGCCATGCGGATGCTGGGAATCAAACCTGGTCCTCTGCAAGAGCAATCAGTGTTCTTAACCGCTGACCCATCTCTCCAGCCCCCTAGTGTGTTTTTTTGTTTGTTTGTTTGTTTGTTTAATTTTTAAAAAAATTTTATGTGTATGCGTGTATTGCCTGCATGTAGGTAAGTGCACCTGTGTCATGCAATGCCTGCAGAGGACAGAAGAGACTGTTGGATCTCCTGGAACTGGAGTTACAGACAGTTGTTAGCTGCCATGTGGGTGCTGGGATTCGAACCCAGGTCTTCTGCAAGAACAGTGTTCTTAACCGCTGAGCCATCTCTCCAGCCCCAAGTATGTTAATTTTAACAGCTTAATTTTTAATCCTGGTTCTCATCTGGGGGGTGAGTCTCAGCTTCATCTTACACTTGCTAAAGGTGGCCAGATCTTTGCCCCACAGTGAATCAGGAGGGAGTTTTCTTTTATACTTTAAATTTTGTTTCATGATCTATTGATGCTTTTCTAATTTTGATTTTCAGGAACCCTCTGGATATTGATGCCACAGGTGTTGTTGGACTGTCATTTAGTGGGCACCGAATCCAGAGTGCCACTGTTCTCCTTAACGAGGATGTGAATGATGAGAAGACTGCCGAGGCAGCCATGCAGCGCCTCAAAGCAGCCAACATTCCTGAACAGAACACAATTGGCTTCATGTTCGCATGTGTTGGCCGGGGCTTTCAGTATTACAGAGCCAAGGGGAATGTTGAGGCTGATGCATTTAGAAAGTTTTTTCCTAGTGTTCCCTTATTTGGCTTCTTTGGAAATGGAGAGATTGGATGCGACCGGATAGTCACTGGGAACTTTATATTGAGGAAATGTAATGAGGTAAAGGATGATGATCTGTTTCACAGCTACACAACAATCATGGCACTCATTCATCTGGGGTCATCTAAGTAAAGCATCATATTTCAAGTGGCTTTCATAGTATGTAACTTTTGAGTTTTACCTTTTCCAGAAAAATGGAAACTTGGGATATATATATATATTTTAAACAAAAGTAACCTTAGCTAATCTGTTTTGTAGCTCTAAGTGATGCTCTCAGATGATACTGGGATAATTTTTAATATATTAGATAAAGGACACTTTGTACTCAACAGATCAAGAATTGAGAGGTTTGTGTCGGACACAAGCAAACCAGTTGTGGCTGAATCGCACTAGATTATGTAGCCACTGTGTAAGGCGACTTGAAATCGTCTTCCTGCATAGGGAGATTGAGAAGAGATACACCAACAAGAGTCTGAAGGTGTTCTATGTCTGCCTCTTTGTAGATGAACTAGCAGAATCCTGATTTTTTTATTCTCTCTCGATAAAGGAGACAAATAGATGGCTTGGAAAGGCTTTGTGTTTCGGCTTTACCAGTTTCCCCAGAAGCTGTAACAGATATTACTGACTTTTTACTTATTTGATAAAAAATTCAAGAACTATTTTTGTTTTGGTACTCTAAAGTTGCTCTATTAGGTAAGTTGCCAAGAATAACCTTTCCATGTAGTTCCATATGCCACAGTGGCAGACCAGAAAATCTTATCACCATAGTTTGGTTTTATACCAATAAAACAAACATCTAAAAGTCATTCTGGTAGTCTTGTGTTTCATTGTTTATGGTATTTTATCAGTGAAAACCTGGAGCAGTAGGGAGAGATGCACAGAGAGCTTCCTATATCCGTTCTTACTGGTGGTTTGAATGAGAATGTCCCCCATAGGCTCCAAGTATTTGGACATTTTGTTACCGGGTGATATCATTGCTTTGGGAGGTTTTAGGAGGTGTGGCCTTGCTGGAAGAAACATGTCATTGGGAGCAGACTTTAAGAGTTCTTAAGCCTTGCCAGATTTCCAGTCACTCTCTGCTTCCTGTGCCTGCTAGAAGATGTGCTCTTGGTTCACGCCTGCTGCCATGCCTTCCCAGTCATTATGGACTCTAATCCCTCTGGAATTGTAAGCCAAAGAAACTCTTCCTTTTATAAGTTCCCTTGGTAACAGTGTTTTTATCACAGCTACAGAAAAGTGACCAGTGCACTCAATCACATTGTGATAGAAACTTTGTCAGATAGTCACATGACTCCCAGAACAAAGACATTTCTCAATACTGTTGTGTTTTGGTTGATGGAAGATGAACATGTGTCCTTAAAAATGGAGCAACTGCCGTTTTGCCCCTTTTTCCGTCTTACTGCTTGGAATGTTGACAGATCATGAGTCACCTTGGACACTGCAGAGAAGTCAGTACCCAGTGTAGAAGAGGTCCACAGGGGGATGCTGGGTCTCTATACACTTTTGTTGAAGCACCTTCATAATGGACCTAGAGTGCCTCTTTTCAGGCACTGCCTGTTTTACGGGGCAGAAATTAACATGGGCTTGCTTAGGCCACCTTTTTTTGCACCAGGATTTTGTTGTAGGACAAGAAAATTCTTATAACTGATGATAGTCTTTCTGTAATGGTCAGGTTAGTACTAACATAAGTAGGTGTAACTTGTAAGGAAAAACAAGCATATTTTATTCCTGCTTCTATTTTTATCACTTCCATTTTTACCTCAACAGACTTTTTTTTCCTTTTGCTGTTTATGATAAAAATACTTAAAAGGTTTACTTTATGGTTATTCTAAATTTTAATTCCTCAGGAAAGTCCAAAGAAGTTTGGTTTTGAGAACTTTCAGTTCTATTCTCTAGCCATTTTTGTTTCACTGTTAACTTTTCTATTTGACACTGAATTATTGATTATACACCTCAAAATTCTAGTTCTTGAATATGCTTATATTAGCATATAAGACAAGTATTTTATACTTTTTTGGCCCTGATGTTAACCAGAGTTGGTTGAGTAATTAGGGGAAAAAATATTTTTTAAATTGACACTATAAACAAAATGAACCTGAGAATTAAATGGATTTTTTTTTCAAATTAATACCCATAAAATGTTATTGTCTCAAAAGTCTCTGCTGCAGGATAACTTCCTGACAGTTTTATGGGGTTCATTTTAATAGCTGAGTATATTTTTATGGACAATAAAATACAGTTGCAACCTTAGTACAAAGTAGAAAGTGGAGATGTCTCTCAGTGAAAACCGATAATGTTAACAGTAAGATTTCTCCCTGCCTCTTGGACCCTGAGATTGTGAAATGTAACTGTCTGGCTTGCTTATTTCAGTCTTGTCTTAAAAGCAGGCATTTAAGAAACAGTAACTGGTTTGTCAAAAAAAAAAACTAAAATGCCTAGAAATGGCAACTACTGCAGTTATTTGTGCAACTGCAAAAATAAGCACATGAAAAAACTGCCGTGGGCACAAAAGGTGTGCGTTCACACACCAAACTGTCTTTCCTTGTGAGGATAAGGTTGTACAATGTTTTACTTAATGAAGGAATTGGGAAACTGATTTCTCCATATACTTTTCAAAACAAAAACATTTCTGGGGCTATAGGTTTCTTTTGAAAAAGGTTGCTTGAAGGAACACATTTCCATTCCCCTTGATCAGAGGGAAGTGGAACTTGGAGTTGAGGACCAGAAATGGGTACAGCAGGCAGATACATAATGAGGTGTGTGTGTCTGCAGTAAGGGGCCTTACTCCTTCAGTTTTCTCAGCTGTGTTTAAACCTGGGTCTTCTCAGACTAGGAGGCCAGCAGTGAAGATGTATTATATATTTAATGAAATGAACATGGAATTACAATAGAATAATCTTTAGAACTCTGAGAGCTTTGTGTGAAGTTGGTGAAACTTTTCTGTAAAAAAATACCTTGTCATTTTATACCCACAATGTGTGGCTCAAATTAGCATCACTATAAGTTCAGTTTTGGTGGAAGCAGAAATTCAGATCCTCTGAAAGACAATGAAATTTAAATGACTAACATGATTTTCAGTTGTAGAAGTTGGGTATGTGAGTTGGTTTAATGGAACTAATGAAGTACAGTGGGCATCTAAATAAAATCTTGTTTAATGAGCAAATTAATACCTCTGTTGTGTAATGTTATTAGAAAGCTATTTTACTATTGATCCTTTACAGGGGGGTGTTTTTGTATATATTTCACTTCTGCCCTTGCCACATCTGGAAACAAGTTTCTAGAACGTGCTGTAAAGCAAAAACATTGGCAGACGCCAATGAGGTCATTAATGTTTTGGTATGAAAAGAGGAATACTTTGATTTTATACAAGTTTTTGTCCCCATTTATGCTCAAGTCATCAACAAGCAAAAACAAAGCATGTTGGTTTCAAATACAGAGAGTCAGATTGAGAAAAACTGAGACCCCTGTTGTAACATTTTTCTTGCTAGCCAAAATTCAGTCACCCTACATTTACTCAAAACACATGTCCTGTTCAGAGTCCTGTGTTACCAGAGTTACAGGAGTATACCATAACTGATCAGAGTTATCAGCAAAAAAGATGCACTTGGATGTTCCATGCTCTGATTCCCCCAACAGAAACAGCAACAAATATAAGCAGACTGCATGAGCTAGCTTTGATGAACTCCAGAAAACAGGTTCACAGCAACAAAAAGAATGCCCAACCAAGAAACCAGTCTTCAAAATGGTAGCGGAGTTCTGTGATGTTTTTTAGTCACCCCTACACCCTGTGGCAGGCTGTTTCTTGAAGCAGTAGAAGCCTAGTCCTCATCCATAAACCGGATAAAGTGGAATAGTTCTGTAGATTGTGCTGTACAGCTATAGCCCTTCTGCATGGGTAGATAGAATGAGGTGTATCCATACAGTGAATTGTTGAGCCATTTTTAAAGGAATGAAATCCTGGTGAGGATGTGCTTTGAAAACATGTTAAATTAGTCACAAAGGACAAGTACCGTATGACTACTTTCTGTTGGGTTTTGGGGGTGTTAGTAATGGGGACTTACTGTTGAAGAGGTAAAGATCAGTGTGGGATCATGAAAATATTCTGTAATGATGGCTCCACATGTCAGTATTTTTCATGCCACAGAGTTGTACACTTCAGAGAGGTTTAAAACAGAGTATCGTAACATTTTACAACAATAAAACTAATTGTAAAACCACCAAGAAGGAAAATTCATTGCAACTATTAACACACAAATAGGAAAAATATGCAGCTGTGAGCTCAAGAGGAACAGAATCATAAACATACTACTAAGTGAATGAAGCCAGTTTGGTAACGTGTATTGTATGGTCCTAGTTCAAGACTCAAAAATGCAAAATGAAGACACTAATGGTTTTGGAGGTTCATTGAGAGATTTATCAAGAGATGGGCAAGAGTTGAACATGTAGTACAGCAGGGTTATCTAGCGCAAGGAGACATGTAATCGTGAATATGTAGTAAGAACCTGTCAAAAACTCATAAGGCAATATAAAAGAACTTTCAACTTTGAACTTCAGTTAATACAACTGTATCAGTACTAGCTCATTGCTAATGTGCCCTGCTAGTGTAAGGTGCTTGCTTGGTAGAGAGGGGCATGTGGGAGCTACCCAGCCTGCTCAGCTTTCTTGTACAGGTGCCTTGACTTATTATGGGGGCACATCCTGCCAAACCTGTAAGTTGAGAATATTCATGAATCAAAAATGCATTTAATACATCACCTACCAAACCTATAGCTTAGCCACACAGCCCATGAAGCTTGTGAGCATCTGGATCACCGCCTGACTAGGATCACAAGATGGTTTGCTGCTGATGGTTAGCACCACATGAGGGCATCTCACCATACATTCTGAGTTTGGGAAATGATAAAAATTCAAAGTATAGTTTCTGTTGAATGTATACAATTTTCACACTGTAGAGTATGAAAGTCATAAATGGAACCACTGTAAAGTGAAACTCTTAACTTGGCTGCTTTTCTAAAAGTCTTAGTTTAAAATATGGAGGCTCCCATGCATGGCTGTTTGTTAAACAATGAATGCTAGTGAATTAATGGATAAATCTCGCTAGTGACAAAAGTGTAACTTACAAAGCCTGCGCTGGGTGACGTGACAGAAAAGGCAGCAAGTACACCACCAGTCTGTCAGGCAGGCTCAGGGATGGATGGTTCTATCTTTCCGCAACACCTCACCAGTCCCAGAGCTCTGTAAGACGTTCCTAGAAGCTGCTACTGTCTTTTGTCTGTTTAACTTTAAAAAAAAGTTATGTTTAAAAAATGGAGAAATTGGCACCAATTAGTAGCACTTCTAAAAAGATGAAATTGGCATTCTGCAAAATCATGCATTAAGAACAGGTCAAATGAAACTTACAACCCATGTACTAAGAACAACAGTCCTAAATGTCTTCTGGTATTTGAACTGAGAATTAGTTCTCTTTTCTAGTCTTCAACTTTGGTGTTTCTTCCCTTGAGATTCAGATCCTTGAAATTAATTGCTGCTAACAGAGCCCATTCATCAGTATTAAAAATACACAGATGTAGCCATCTGCTTTTCCTAATGGGCAGGTAAAATGTGAGTATAGCTTTTCCATCTGTATCTGGAGCTAGATGAACACTGAAAAGTAAGGTGTTTTGTGACCCCTAAACCAGCCATTTCTTGCACTAAGAGGACTTTCATCTTTTTTTTCTTAAGACCATCATCATCACTAAGGATTTCTCTCTGGTTTGATTGATCATGTTGTGCCTTGCACAGTACGCTGTTCTCCCTCGCTACTGATCAGTGGCATATAAGCTGATGGACACACAGAAGCACTTGTGCCTTTCAACAAACAGGCTGCCTGTGATAGGACCGTTTACCAAGTATTATGTTTAAGGAAAGACGACTAAACTGGTCATTTCATTTACCTTATGGTTTCATTTCCAGCCTTTGAGATGAAAGCAGTAATGCCTTCATAGATGTTTCTTCAGTGTTCTCTGTGACCTATGGAAAACAGCATGTGAGATTTGTCCATTCTGATTCTCCTTCATGAGCACACCTACCTATGCTTATCTCCTATTCATATTCATAAAACCACAGCCTTTGTTTGCTATTGTTCTGAGGTAAACTTACCTAGAACATCCATACCTGCCACCAGCTGCCACTCTACCAGAACTCAGTTGTATCTGCATCCCCATCCTGGTCTCACAAGTGCCTCACTGCTGCCTTTCTACCCATTTTCTATCAACAAAAGTTCTAACAAGCTTGGTGATCTAAGATACACAAAATTACAAAGGGCTGCTTGACGGGGAAGAGTACTAGAGTGGGTCACTAACAAAGGTAACATGGAAAATACAGAAGGAAACACCAAACACAAGGACTAAAATCCTTGGAACAAAAATAGCTCTAGCCAGCCAGTGATCCCCAAGGATCTTACCCATGCCTGTGGAAACCCAAGTATATTAAGAAAAGCACTGGGTGTGGTGGCGCATGCCTGTAGTCCCAGCACTTGGGAGGCAGAGGCAGGCGGATCTCTGTGAGTTCAAGGCCAGCTTGGTCTACAGTCCAGGACAGCTGGGGCTACAGGGAGACCCTGCTTCAAAAAGATTTAAAAAAAAAAAAAAGGCTGGGCATGGTGGCACACGCCTTTAATCCCAGCACTTGGGAGGCAGAGGCAGGCGGATCTCTGTGAGTTTGAGGCCAGCCTGGTCTATATAGTGAGTTCCAGGCCAGCTGGGGCTACAGAAAGACCTTGTCTCAAAAAAAAGAGAAAAGCATGGGTTTGGCCAGCGAGATGGTTTAGAGAATAAAGGCTTCTGCCTCATAACCTAAGTGCAGTCCCCAGAATCCATATAATGAGTAGGAGAACTCCGTAACACTGTCCCCTGACCTCTGCACATACCTACCAAACACACACTAAACAGAAAAGAGGAAAAACATGAGTTTGGAAGCCCGAGTAAATTCTTACTCTACCAGCTTCCAGATATACAGCTTGATCATTAAGCCTCCACCTTCCTCTGTGGGGGAGAATGAGCACCACCTATCTCCATCATACACATTGACACATCTATAGTACCAGTCACAGTGGCTGATATACATGGGCATAGGATGTTGCTGATTAAGCAATTACAGTGCTTTCCATTTAACGGCTGGTATTTTTGGTGTGAGGGCATTACTATAGTAGGGAGGTGAACAATGTAGTATGTGCTGGGACTTCGGGCTGTAGGTTCTCTTTGTGAACAAGTAAGGAAGGCCCCCTAAGAATCACAAGGACAATGTGAACAAAACTGTTAGGGTAGCCAGTTAACTAAAATAAGGCTTCAAGATGTGGTATCATCACTACTAAGTTTCAAAATATAATCTTATATTTTCATAACACAAGCACCAGGTGCCATTATTAAGCAAGTCCTAGTCTGTGTAACAAACTCATCTGAAAACCCAGCCTTTATTTCCTAACATAGATCTTTTCACCTTTGCTCCATTATGGCCTTAGATTACAATAGTACCTGACCTTGAAAATGTGCCAATTTCTCAGGCTGAGCTTCACATTTTACTTTGGCTTTAGGTAGTGTTATGATCTTTTTTTCCCTCCATTAAAAGATGTCAGTTTAACTCCCTCTTTTGGAGTTGATGACCAGGGAGGTCCTATAGACCCTCAAACAATACTGGACATTACCATTGCACCATTGCACTTGGTTACCTGTCAGGAATTGATAGTAAGACTGTATTGCTGAAGATATTACATATGTGAGTCATAGAACAAAGAGCCATCAAGTTGGTACTCATCTGAAAGCTTCATCTCTGCTGGCTGGCTTTCATAGTACTAGAAGGTGCTGTGCATGTTACTGGTAGAGAAAGGTAATCATCAACCTCACCCAGCTGTGAACGCTGTGAACTACAATAACAACTGGCTTGACAACCCCACCCCCCACAACTCTGGTGCAATAGTGGCATGACTATTATAGGGGCAACCAACCATCTTCTAATTGGATTTAAGGCCTGCTTCACAAGATGGAGTCCATACATGACATTGTTATCAGGGCCAAGAACCTGTGGCTAGACAGGTCACAGGTCATAGGGGAGAACTTACTATTATTCTGTGAAATAGACACAGTATTAAACCTACTCCTAATGACTTATTATGTCCCTAGATTAGTGCATCTCTCAACTCTCACCAGAAAATGTTCTTGCAGCAGATGGCAATTAACTTACAGCTGCACAACTGGTCAACGTACAGAGAATAAGACTGTGGAGTGCTCAGCCATAAATGGGACACCTATATCAACCCTCTCATCCCAAGGCTCAGGGATCATTGTAGAAGAGGGGACAAAAAGATTTGAAGAGTCAGAGGTGGTAGAAGAATATAAGGAAACTGTGCTGTCTGGACACCAGAGGACAGTTGTACATATGAACCCACAGTGCTTGTGACAGCATTCACAAGACCTTTGAAAACCCAAGTTGGACAAAAATCCAGCATGGATGGGGGAAGTGGGCAAGCAATCCCAGTCGTAGCTGAGGATCTACTGGCAACTGATAACTGCTGGAAGAGGGAGTCAATTTTCCTTACTGGTATATCACCTGATAGGTTGACTAAACTCGAAGGGATAGACCCACACCCAAGAGCATTTTGGAAACAAAGATTAGACTTGATAGGCCTTTTTAAAAGAAGCACCTAGCTGGGTGTGGCAGTGCACGCCTTTAATCCCAGCACTTGGGAAGCAGAGGCAGGCGGATCTCTGTGAGTTCAAGACCAGCCTGGTCTACATAGTTCCAGGACAGCTGGGGCTACAGGGAGACCCTGTCTCAAAAAGACCCCCACAAAAAAGTAACTAATAATAGAGGACATGAAGTCAGGGGGTATACTAAGGTGAAGGTGGAGAAGTGGGAGGAGGCTTGAATTTTATCACAGTGCATTGTGTGAAATTCTCGAATCAATAAAAAATTCTAAATGTCCATTTAAGCCAGACATGGTGGTTCACATCTGTAATGTCAGCACTTGGAAGACTGTTCCAAGTTTGAAGCCAGCCTGGGATACATAGTTCCAGGGCAGCATGGGTTATAGAGTGTGACTTCATCTCAAAATAAATGAACAAGGAACCAAAGATAAAAAAGAAAGGCAATTTGAGTTAAAAATTCTCTTCAGCTTAAGATATATTTTTGTATATAGAAAGGCTATAAGATCACTTCCTATGCTTTTTCTTTAATTATTATTTTAAATAATGTGTCTCTGTGTGGGTCTGTATGTGGATATGTGCACATGAATATGTCTGCACACAGTGGCCAGAAGTATTAGATCCCCCTGGAACTGGAGTTACATGTGAGCCATCCCAAATGAACTAGGAACTGAACTCCAGTATTCTGCAAGAGCAGCCAAGCTCTCTTAACCACTGAGCCATCTCCCTAGCCCCTTCTTTTTGTTTTATACACTTGTCTTTACAAATAACTCAAACTTGCTGCTCTTGCAGAGGGCCAAGGTTTAGTTCCCAGCGCTTACATAAAGTGGCTCACAACCAACTGTAACTCCAGCCACAGGCAATCTGATACCCTCTTGTGGCCCCATGGGTACATGCACTCGTGGGCACATACAATCAAGCACACACAGATACACACAAACACACATAAATTAAAATAAATCTTTCTTTTTTGTCTTTTTGAAACAGGGTCTCCCTGTAGCCCCAGCTATCCTGGAACTCACTATGTAGACCAGGCTGGCCTTGAACTCACAGAGATCCGCATGCCTCTGCCTCCCGAGTGCTGGTATTAAAGGCTGTGCCACCATGCCCGGCTCTAAAATCTTTTTAAAAGTTCCAGCTTGTTGTGGTGGTGCACACCTTTAATGAAGCTATATGGTAGAGCCATACTGTCAGTCATTACAAAACACCTGTTAGGATTTTTATTGTGAAGGCACAGAATCTGTGGGTCAATTTGAAGAGAACCAGCATCTTTTTTTTTTTTTTTCCAGTCTTTCAGACAGGGTCACTATGAAGACCAGGCTGGCTTTGATCTCACAGAGATCCACCTACCTCTCCTCCAGAGTGCTGGGATTAAAAACATGCACAACCAGGCCCACCTTACAAACTGGTATCTCAAAAACATCACATTCTCCAAACCTATCAGCACAGCACCCTTGTGCACGTGGATCTCCGTTTCCTCCCTCGGCACTGCTTCCTGCGTTTCACTGCTTTTGTTAGCTGTACCCCTGCATATTTTGAGGTGCTCTTAAAAATGGCAAATAGTTTTTAAAGTTCCTATATCCAGTTGTTACTGATATTTAGAAGCACAATTTACTTTTTAATATTAATCATCTATCTTGCACTGTTAAACTACTAGTTAGCTGGTCTCATAGGTTGTATTCGCTTTTGTAAGAGTTTGAGTAGAATAATTTTTTCCTTGGAAGTTTGGTTTAATTTCACCATTTGGGCCTGAAATTGTCATTATGGAAGTTTCTATGTGCAAATTCAATCACTGGATATGGGACTACTTGAGAACTCACAGAGATCCACCTGCCTTTGCCTCCCAGTGCTGGGATTAAAGGCATGTGCCACCACGCCAGGCATCCCTTTTTTATTGAAACATGAATTATTACCATCTCAATCAGCATTTCTTCACAACTTTTAACTCTCCATAGGGCCCTCAAGGCTTTTTTTTTTTTTAAACATGATCTCATGTAGCCCAGGTTGGCCTTGATGTAGCTGAGAATAGTCCTGAACTTCTCATCTTCCTGCCTGAACTTCACAAGTGCTGGGATTATAGGTGTGCATAACCATGCTTGGTTTTATGTGGTGCTGTGGACAGAACCCAGGGCATCTTGCATGCTAGGCAAGTATGCTTCCAACCGAGCTACGTCCCCAACCCCTTGAATTAGCTCTTTGGCAGTTTCTGTTCTTCAAAGAGTTGGTCTATTTAATATAAATTATGCTAAATCTCATATTATTGTATTTGTAGTGTTGGTAGGAATATCACCTGAACTTTTTTGGAGATTGCTAATTTCTGTCTTATCAGTA